GATCATATTAATTACATTTTACACACTTCAAGTGAGTAATTATAAGCCTTATACATTTACTTTTCATTTATCCTTCCTCGCCTGCTGGAGAATGTTTCCCGTCTCCCAGCAGTTTCCCTGGAATGCTTATACATTTACTTTGCAGTGAGGCAGAAAACATGCCGAAGTGCTCTCTCCCCTGCCTGGCGCTCCAAGTCTGACTTTACAACCTGGACACGCTGATGCCTGCCTCTGGGGTTCCCCACAGCTTCAGAGACAGAGTAACGTAGCTGCTTGAGAAGGGAAATAGTCCAGGTAAACTTTATTTAAGCTACTCAAGCACAACAGGGCATTAACCCCAAACCCACCTCCTCGGACCCTTGAGTCCAGAAAGCTGTTTAGCTCTGCCCAGGAAAATCTCACACTCACACAGTCCTCACACAGTCCGACTGTGCCCAGCAACCCCACCTCACTCGGGTGGGCATCTTGCCCAGGGCTCCAGTCCCTCCTGGCCACACAACCTCTTAAAAGGCCAAGCGACTTTCACCCATTCTTTGTCCGTCTCAAGGGCACCTGGGCAAACTCTGAGCCTACCCAGGCTTCTGCTTTCTTTCCCTTTTCTCCACTCTTGTCCTAGAAGGCAGGGACAGGTCCTGGCTATGACCATGGTACAGTGTCCCTCCCAAATTCATATCCACTGGGAACCTCAGAAGGTGACCTCTGGAAATAGAGTCTCTGCAGATATAATGATTAAATTAAGTGAGGCTGGACTGGTGTCCTTATGGGAAGAGGAGAGGACACAGACACACACGGAAGAAGGCCGTGGACGACAGAGGCAGAGATTCAAGTGACGCAGCTACAGGCCACATGCCTGATTGTTGGGAGCCACCAGAAGCCAGGAAGAGGCAAGGAGGGATTCTGCCCTGGAGCCTTCAGAGGAAACACAGCCCTGCTAACACCTTGATTTTGGACCTCTGGTCTCCCTCTGGAACTGTGGAAGAACACATTTCTGTGGTGTAAATCCCGCCGTGTGTGGGAATTTGTCATGCAGCCCTAGCAAACTAATACACATGGGTTCCCATCTTGTGTGTCCTTGACAAGATACTCAGTCTCTTGGCTTCAACTGTCTCACCTGTAAAATGGGAAGAACTATTTGCCTACCTAGTGGGGTTACAGTGAGGGCTAAATAAGTTCATCCATGTTAAGTGTTTGGAGCTGGGCCTGGCCCAGGGTAAGTGCTCAATAAGCCATAATTAGTTACCATTTCTAATTGCCCACACTCCCCTGTCTTTCTAATTATTTGAGAGTATCTCAAAACCTTCTTCTATTCCAACCCAAAATCTTGCTGTTATAAACATAATATATACACATTAGTCTGTGGATACACAATTCTTTCACAAATCAGAGAGGAGCTGTTGCCCAGTTAACAGACAGAAGGAGTTAACGATGCAGGCTGAAGGCCTGAGCGCTTTGGCATTGCTCCAGGTGAGTTCGAGGCTAGAGCAGGATGCTGGAGTGGGGCTGCAGAACAAGCACTGTGAGCATCCTTCCTCCAGAAGCAAAGACAGCTGGAAGACGGCCTCTCCCCCAAGGAAAGACACACTGCAGTAGCAGAGCTGGGGCTTCCAAGGCAGCACCCAGGGACCCAAACCCCATTTTCATTTCTATATTTTTAAGAGTTAAAGATGGGGATTAGCTTTTTCATTGTTCATTTCCGTTATTTTCTTCTGACATTTTTCTGGCTCAAGATGCCAACAGAGAGAACACTGATTTGAAAAATATCCCCACGTGCACTACATCACTGGAGCCATGAAGATGTTTACAACCTTCAAATCCAGAAATTTCACTCTTGGGAAATTACACCAAGGGATTAATTCAACAGAAACTAAAATATGTATGCACAAAGATGTTTGCTATAGAACTTCCCTTCTAATGGCCAAAAATTGGAACCGCTGTAGGATATGAACTATCATTTATGAAATTATTCCCATAATCTTGGACCAATCAAAAAATGCTATCATCATTAAAAGTAGTAATGTGAAGACATGAAAATGGAGTTTAAGTTAAAGCAACAGAATTCAAAATATGCAGATCAGGAGCTTGGTTGTGTAAATACACATACACATATAAAAGAGAGCACAGAAAAATGAAAACAGGCAGGGCATGGTGGTTCACACCTGTAATCCCAGCACTTTGGGAGGCCAAGGAAGGGGGAATCACCGGAGGTCAGGAGATCAAGACCAGTCTGGCCAACGTGGTGAAACCCCATCTCTACTAAAAATACAAAAATTAGCCAAGCATGGTGGCGCACACCTGTAGTCCCAGCTACTGGAGAGGCTGAGGCACAAGAATCGCTTAAACACAGGAGGCGGAGGTTGCAGTGAGCCTTGATTGCACCACTGCACTCCAGCCTGGGTGACAGAGTGAAACACTGTCTAAAAAAAAGAAAAGAAAAAGAAACAATTGTTAGAGTAGCTTTTACAGTTTCTTTCATGTTGTATAGTATTCTTCCCACTAAAAATGATGATTCAACATAACGCAAGATCCAAATCAACTCTAAGTGTTAGAAATACTACTGAAAATCAGGCAAGGTCTAAACAAAGAGTTGGAATTTCCCCAACAAAAACCAATTATCTATCCGCAGCCACTACTGTGAATATTTTCACTCAAGAGATCTTTTGACATGGTGCGGTAGCTCATGCCTATAATCCCAGCACTTTGGGAGGCCTAGGAGGGCGGAACACTTGAGGTCAGGAGTTTGAGACCAAGGCCCAGCCAATATGGTGAAACCCAATCTCTACTAAAAATACAAAAATTAGCTGGGTGTGGTGGCGGGTACCTGTAAACCCAGCCACTTAGGAGGCTGAGGCAGAAGAATTGCTTGAACCCAGGAAGCAGAGGTTGCAGTGAGCTGAGATCTTGCCACTGCATTCCAGCCCGGGCAACAGAGTGAGACTCCATCTCAAAAAAAAAAAAAAAAAAAAAAAAAAAAATGCGAGGAAAGGGGGAGATCTTTGAAAAATGAGAGCACAAGGCATTTGTTTAATTTCTGCATATTTTAGGAATATAGGATGCTTAAGTATGACTTAAGTTGCTGCCATCAAGAAGTGTTGAAGGGGTGAGGGAGATAAAAGCAGGTATCAGAAGAGATCCAAAAATGGATAAGGGAGGCCCCAGACAGGGGCAGAGGGCACACATGTGGACTCGGGGGAGGCTAGGCTGTACTTCAAGTGTGGTTGTTGAAAGGTGTTCAGGGGAAATGGCCATTGCAGCTGCCGCTGATGAAACACACCCACGCTCCCCTAATCTCCCTCACTCCCAGATTCCCTTCTTGTGAACCCAAGACACAAAGCTGAGCTCTGTTCTGTAGACCCTCCAAAGATATGGAATGGAATCAGAACCATCCCAAGGAGGGGAAAAAGATTCAAATCCACTGTAGTGGATTTTCCCCAGGGAAATTCGGGGAAACACTGAGAATTTTGAGGCGGGGGCGAGTAGGGGTTCACCTTAAAGTAAAAATAAAAAAGTGTCATGAAAAGATGGAGAGACAAGGTCCCATCTTTCTCCAGAAAGTAAGAAAACCACGTGCAAGACTTCTGTGGCCTTGATAAGCAGGAAGGCCTGGCCCCGGTGTGCCACACATATGTATGAGCCATGCTTAGATATTAAAATTCCCTCCAAGTTGGCCAGGCAGGTTCACTTGTGCAGGCAAATTAAAAAGCTGCTGTAAGACAATAAGGTGTCTGCAAATGGTTACCGCTACAAGAGGACATGAAGCTATTTGCATGTCTGTCTCTACAGGAAGTGGCCAGATGTGTTAGAAAGTTTCCGTTCAAAGCTTGCTGCCACCTGCGATCTGGGTGACTTGGGGAGAAGGGAAACAGGTACAAGCAGAAGACATGTGGAGTTCCAGCTCTATACAATGCTGAATGCCAGGCAGGCACTTTAGTAGATGTCATTTCATTTAACCCTCCCTTTCTCACTACCATCCAAGATGCATTATTTATATTGTACAGACGAGGGAACAAGTGCAGAGAGGTTCTTGCCAACAGCACACAGCTAATAAATGACAGATCCTCCAGGAAGATACAGCAGGGAAATGTTTATTATCTCTGAGTGTTTCCAAGAGTGATTGGCCCCTTGAGGAAGGAGTGCAGAGGGGACGTGAATACACAGAAGGGGCTGGGGACAGTGGCTCACGCCTGTAATCCCAGCACTTTGGGAGGCTGAGGTCGGCGGATCATGAAGTCAGGAGATGGAGAACATCCTGGCCAACATGGTGAAACCCTATCTCTACTAAAAATACAAATTTAGCTGGACGTGGTGACAGACATCTGTAATCCCAGCTACTCAGGAGGCTGAGACAGGAGAATGACTTGAACCTGGGAGGCGGAGGTTGCAGTGAGCTGAAATTGTACCATTGCACTCCAGCCTGGTGATAGAGTGAGATTCTGTCTCAAAAAAAAGAAAAGAAATGCATAGAAAGAATTTAAACTCCAGTTGCATCCCTTAGTAAGTAAACAGGGACCTGGGGTTTGAGTAACTCGGTAAAGATAACAGGACAGAGGTAACATATCTCTCTGACACATCTGGTCAAAATGCGGACATCAACGTGTTCAAGCACACACACATGCACAGATATGTGCACCCCAACACTGATTTCATTGCCAGGGAGCCGAGCACAGTAGCCAAGGGTAGGCTCTAAGGGCGTTAGAATTCCTGCTTCAAATCCTGGCCCCTCCACTAGCCAGCAGAGTGATCTTCTGCAAGTGTCTTCACCTCCTGCATCTCAGTTTTCTCACCATAAGATGGAAATAATGAGCCTGCCTTATAAAGTTACTAAGAGGAGGACATGAGCTGAAATCACTGAGTACACTGGCTGCCACAGTGCTCAGGTGCTCATTTCCATGTTTCCATTTCTCTGAAATAAGGATGCATCTTACAACCATAGTCCTCTTAGATTGGATGAAATAAGGATATAATGATGATGTTGATATCGATGTAGTACATCCCTGACTTCCTTTCCACCTCCCTGCCCATCCCCATCCCCATCCCTATCCCACCTCAAAGCCCAAACTCCTGGATGGAGTGTTTGTTCTCAACTTCCCTTCCTTTTCTTTTAATTTGCTGCAAGTTGAATGCTTTGTTTTCCAAGCCAAGAAAAATCTCCTCAAATCCAAATGGCCAAGGGCCAGAGCATCAAAATGCCCTGAATTTTCTGAGGCTGTACCCAGAGAGAGGGTTCACTCAGATGCAGACAGACAGCTCCAGGGTGACAGGCCCTTTGAGATCGCCTGTGCCCAAGCCGTTCCTCTCACAGCCAAGGTCACTGGCCTGGATGCCCTCAACAGCTGGGGAAGCCTCTGTCAGGGCAGACCGAGGTAGCAGGTCTACAGCAGTGCCAAGAAAGATGCCCACCTCCCACCCACCAAATAACTGCCTCAGCCCTCGCTGAGGCCAGAAATCCCAGGAAGTGTTCTTTTAAATCAGTGGTTTCCAGTCACTCTCCAATGTTTGCCCACTACATCAAATCATAACCAGCTTTCTCAAAGTTTGACAAACTACAAGAAGTTGTGGTTCAAATAAACAAATAGGAATAAAATTTTCTCAATTATCAAGCTTTCTCCCATAAAACTTTGTTAAACAGTTGACACAGTTGTGCTTGAATCATATACACATAGATATAAATATGTAAACATAGATAGCACAAATATCAACAAATATCAGTATGTCATGGAGACTTCTACACATCTGCCACCTGGCCAAGCTTGAGGTTGTTCCTCCAGTAGAAGCTAATGAAGTCAGCATCCTTGGGAGTAGAGTCCAAAGTCCACAGGGGTGACGATGCAGGAAGCATCTGTTTATCAGATGTTCTATTCAGAAGAGGCTGAGAGGAGAAGTAGCTCCTGTATGTCCAAGATCAGGGGTTGAGAGACAGAAATCAGGACAGAACAGGAAGGCCAGAAAACCCCAGGAAAGGTGGAAAAGGCACTCAGATTTTTGTATTTCACTTCCTCCTAATCTCAATAAACATCAATATTCAAGGATTCACTTGCTTTTCACGATGAGCATATTGGAACTGAAAATTCTAAGACAACTATAAGAAATATAAAAACCCAGACTGGGTGCAGTGGCTCATGCTTTTTTTTTTTTTTTTTTTTTTTTGAGACAGAGTTTCGCTCTTGTTACCCAGGCTGGAGTGCAATGGTGCCATCTCAGCTCACCGCAACCTCCGCCTCCTGGGTTCAGGCAATTCTCCCGCCTCAGCCTCCTGAGTAGCTGGGATTACAGGCACGCGCCACCGTGCCCAGCTAATTTTTGTATTTTTAGTAGAGACGGGGTTTCACCATGTTGACCAGGATGGTCTCGATCTCTTGACCTCGTGATCCACCCGCCTCGGCCTCCCAAAGTACTGGGATTACAGGCGTGAGCCACCGCATCCGGCCTGGCTCACACTTTTAATGCCAGCACTTTGGGAAGCCAAATAGAGAGGATTGCTTGAGGCCAGGAGTTCAAGACCAGGCTGGACAACCAAGTGAGACCCAATCTCTACAAAAAAAGAAAACAAGAAATATGAAAATTCCCCTTCCTTCCAACTGAAGTACAAAGCCTCAGAAAACAGAGCACCCATTTCTTGACAAAATCCTCCTGGCCCAGCTACATCCTAGAATTGAATTAAACAAGTAGAGAGAAAAAATTGGGCTCCCCAAAATTCCAGGAAGATTTGCATGGGACACAATCCTAGCTGGTATAGAAGTTGAAAGCTAAATTACATATTTTTCTACCATTCTCTGATTGTGTCTGACATTCTGAATATTTGTTTATTTTTTCCTTTAATTTATCCATAATCGACATGTCTACCATGCATGAGGGCTTAAAGCTCCAACTGAAATAAATTATATCCCATGGTATTTAGAAACAGGCAGCCTAACATCTAATCTAATTGGCCTAATTAACCCTTTTCTTAAATGCCCACACTGTATTATATCAGCCAGAGCATATAGTGAAAGCTTTTGGCTTTCTTGTGGCTGAACAATATTAGAAACTTTAGTCAAATCCAGAACCTGATCTTTAGTTTCAATTTCCTTTTATTCTCCAGCTCAAGTCTGAAATCTTCCTTCTTGTAAACAAAAACCACAAAAGATATTCTATCCCCCATTCCCCCAGTGTAGGGGGAAAGTCACAAATGATTTCTGGCTTCAATCCCCTAATGAAACAGCTAAAGGGCCTTGAAAGCCAAAAGACAATGGTTTTATCGAAAGTTCAGGCCTCTTTTCTTCAAACGTCCATTAGATTAAAAGGGACTAGAAACTTAGGGACGATCTTATGTGATCGTTGTCCATGGTCTTCAAAGATAAACAATGGTTCTGTGTGCTCCTTGATGACCAAAGCTGGTGCAGAGTATGGTAATTAACCCAGATGATTCAGAAGCAGCAGAGGATCCCATACATCACTTCTGATCATCCGGATACTCCTGGACCTTAGACATTTAGCTTTTCTCTCCAATTACATTTTGGTTATAACAGTTATTCCAATTACCTTGCATCTCTGAGATACAAGCTGGTTGGGTGTAGGATAGTGAGGCTACAGAATGAGAGTGGGCAACAGAATTAGTGCAGGCAATGTGTGGATGTGCCCTCCCCTGCCGGGCTGCCGAGAAATGCAATGGGGTGGGGGGTGGGGGGGGGTGGCACAGCCACACATTGACAAATGAAAGTTACTCACGTTGCAATGTATCATTCTCTTGAAATTTCATTTGAGACGAATCAGTAAGATAGTGGCCCATTTCTGACATGGGGATGATAATAACAAATGCCTGTTTCACTGTCTGTCTGTTCCGACATGTGCTCCACACTCATCCTCACTGTCTCTCATTTTAAAGATGAGAAATCCAAGGTCAGGGAGGTTAAGTGATGTGCTCAAGTTATGAGATCAATCACTGGCATCTCCGCTCTATTGATGCAACAAAAATGGAGGCTCGGCAACATTAAGTGACTTGTCCAGGGGTGACAGCTAGGTGGTGGGGCAAAGACCTCAACCCAGGTCAAGAGGACCCAAGTCAGGTCTTATTCACTCTACACAACAATTGCCTCCCATAAGAAGGCTAAAAAAAGAGCAGATATTCACTGAGCATCCACATGGTACTAGGAGCCCAGGAACAGAGAACGGGAAACAGACCCAACTCCCACCAAGCTTAAACGGCAATCAGAGCTTCTGCTCTTCTTCAAGCATCTCTCTCTCTCATTCTTTAAGGGTAACAAGGAAACGGGGGCATGAAACCAAGCCCCTTGATAAGTACCTGGGCCCCCACTCGTGGCCCCTTCTGGTCAAAGACAGCATCAAGTTGCTTTTTGTATCTCCTACTTTGAGTAAGGCCAGACCAAAAATAGGCCCTCAATAAACATTTTGCATTGAGTGAGTTAATTAATCCAGCTTTGAAGCTGAGACAATTGCATGTCACAAGAGCCTAACATTCTCCTAGATTTTACCTAAGAACATGATAGACAACATGGCAGTCTGTCGTCCATTAATACTGCTGGCTTTTCAAGGCCTCCTCAAGAATTTTTATCTCAGAGAGGTTGCTAAGTGCTTTCTATGGCTTACATGTGAATCACTTCCCATACTGTAAGGATGGTGACTAAATAGTTTCAGACAGGACTTCGGAATTCTGGGACAGAATAAACCAGCCAGAAAGCCGATGACTCAATTCTCCACTTTTCAACCGGTGCTGTCATCCCAGAGAGAGAGAGCCAACGTACCCAGGACTCTCATCAGAATAGAGGCAGGGGGTTCTGAAAATGCAATCCGAAAGATACAGATCTTAAAGACACTCCAACGGAAAGACCTACTCAGAGGCAAAGACTGATTCGACCCAAATGCAGGAAAAGAAAAATGGAGAAGTCACCAAATCTCTAAATGACTTTGGGAAGAATACTCAATTCAGGAACACTTATTGTTAAGTCTATTATATTCCGAGCCATCTAATTCAACAGAACTCAGGAGCCAAGAACTGGGAAGATCCAAGCAGTGGGAAGTCAATGGGTCTGGAGACCAGGAAGTCAGTGGTGGGCTGAGATCCTCACCAGAAACGTGACCTCAGGTCAGGACCACCCCCTCGTTTCTGGGTCTCGGTATCCTCATCTATAAATAAGGAGGAGGGGAGGATTTAATCTATATAAGATTCCTTCCAGCTGTAAAATTCAGTACTTCTGCACCTCCCAGCCCACTCCCTTCTACCGCAGTGAAGCTCACCAAAATTCCACTGGCACTGTGCTCCAGCTCTGAACAGGCTGGCTTTTGTGGCATTCCCTCATGCATGGTAACCACAGAAATAAACTCACATACACCAAAAAATGTAAATGGGTCATGAGTGCTGTTACACTTATGAAGTCAGCAGTGTGAAATATATAACGAGATTGTCTACAGATCTTTTGTTGACACGTAGTAAGAAAAATCTCCTAAGTATAAAAAGGCCCATTTGTCAGCAGCATCTGAAACTGGAGCTCCAGTCATAACTGCGCGCTGCCCTTACCCGACACTCACACAGGAGAAACATTTGGATTTTTCACAGACATTCTCTATTCTGCGCAGGAGCCTAGGAAAGCAGGGGAAGTTGCCCTTGGCATTGACCAGACAATGAACTCATCATCCTGCTTCACCCAGAAATAGAAATGAAGCGTTAAAGATAGCTCACTAGTGTCTGCTTCGGCATCACAGACTGAGGTTAAGTTGCCTAAGAAAGTCCAGAGTGGGAATGCTTACTTACTTAATCCATGATGATGTAGCCTACCACCACCCCATGAATCCCACCACCCCACTGTCAGCTGAAAGCACTTATTAAGCACCTAGTGTGTACACAGCCCTTCCTTCCTGGAGTGTTCCAAAAGGAGCCATCAAGTTTGGGCTGCATGAACACGATATGGGTGTACTTCATGTCACTGAACTGGATGCTAAAAATGGTTAAAATGGTAAATTTTGTTACGTACATTTTATCTTTTTTTTTTTTTGAGACGGCGTTTCGCTCTATCACCCAGACTGGCATGCGTGGCGCGATCTTGGCTCACTGCAACCTCTACCTCCCTGATTCAAGCAATTCCCCTGCCTCAGCCTCCTGAGTAGCTGGGACTATAGGCGCATGCCCACACCTGGCTAATTTTTTTGCACTTTTAGTAGAGACAGAGTTTCACCATGTTGGTCAGACTGGTCTTGAACTCTTGACCTCATGATCCACCCGTCTTGGCCTCCCAAAGTGCTGGGATTACAGGCGTGAGCCACTGTGACTGGCCCACCATTTTTTTAATACCAAAAAAAAAAAAGAAAAGAAAAATGAAGGGCTGCAGCCCTCAGATACACAAATCATACTGGTGCAAAACAGAACCGCTCAGTCAGGCAGATGTTTCCAGGACATCCCCAAAGTGTCTGGGGCTGATGATAATAACCTTTCCCCTGGCCCTGCGTGACCATGGTCTTTGGTTAAGCCTTAGACTGAATCCACGTCATTTCCACCCCTCTGGAGTCTTAGAACCAAGGTCTAGGGATTCCCCACCATGAATACCCCTCCAAGCAGCCTGGGTGGTATCAATGCAGACCCCGGGATCCTAAAATCCAGATCCTGATTCAATAGGCCTACCTTAGCCCCAGAAATCTACCCTTTTAAATGCGTTCCAGGTGATCGTTAAGGATCTGGGAATGAATTAAAGGCCCTGGCTAAATGCAAGTGGGTGATGACCAAAGGCAGCCTTTGCATGGGCTTTGGAAATGACCAGAGGTTGCAGCCACGGAGTTGCTCCCAGCTCCTGCCCTCCAGTTCGGATGTCTGTTGCTCTTCTCCAAATTCAAGGAGGCCCCTGACTAAGTCCTTGAACAAGTGACGGGCTCATATATAGGGTTCTGCCACCTTTCCCATTCTACTGGACAGTCACCCCGAATCAGAACTCCCAGATTCTAGGCCCAGCCCTCCACCACACATTTTCCATCACTGCACCTCCGTCTTCCCCTCTGCACAATGGGGCTGATACTTCCTGCCCTGACTTCCCCTAGGCCTGCTGTGTCAGGGTCCAGCTCCTGTTCTCCCAAGCGTGTGACCTTGGGCTGTTTAGGTTTCACCTCCCTGGAGCTCAGCCTCCACATCTTCCACAAAGTCAGAATAAAACAGTCCTTAGTTCATAGAGTTCCTTCGAGGACACAGTAGGCTCAGGCAAGAACAGTGCTCCTGCCAATGAGAAGCACAGCGAGCACTTAATCAACGTTAACCACCATCACGCCTGTGAGTATGTTGACGTGGAGACACTGTACTTGGGAGGGAACAGGCAGAAGAGAGAACAGTTCTCACACTTCTGTTTTAAAGAACAAAGCTCGTGCACGCATGCCGCGCACACCTACCCTGTGATTACAAATCACGGTGGCCCTCTGACTCTTTGCAATCACAGGGTGGGTGGGTAGCGTGTGTGCACAAGCGTTGCTCTCTAGCAACAGAGGACAAGAATGAATTTTGAAGACGCTAGCCCTTTTATTTACAATGTTGAGTTCCTCTATTCCCCAGGCAGAGACCAAGGAATACCCTGCTAAGCCATTTCTGAGCACTGCCGAAGGAGGGAAGGCAGGACGGGCCCTTCTGATGAAGCAGTGGCCTCCCACCCTGCTGCATGCAGAGCAGCCTCCTTCAGAAGGGGACCACTTGGTGGCTCCGCATCCTTTACCCAGACAGCTGGCTCATTCCACCCAACCCCACAGAACGGCACCTGCTGGCCACTCACAACAGCTCACTCAGAACACATCCAGGATTTCCCTTCAAATGGACAAGGTGTTCCTGCTTCCAGGCCTTTCTTTGCCTTTTCAGTCGCCGAAGTCAAGACCTCCTTCACCAGGATTATCACAGAGGACTCGGGGAGGCCTCCCTGGCACCCTCACCCCTGCAATTCCACTACCTGGTATGTCTTCCTCAGAGCACTGTCCCCACCCAACATGGCCTCATCCCTGTCCCCAGATCCTTCTCCAACCCTTAATGGCAAGCTCTTGGGGCCTCTTCTGTTCATAGGAAGAATACCCTCTGGCACACAGCTGAAAATACTTGTTGACTGAATTGTGCATCCTGTTTAGGGCAAACACAAAGCTCAGTCACCTTGGGATTGTCCCAGTTTATGCCTGCAGTCCTACAGTCTCTTTTTTTTTTTTTTTTTTGAGACAGGATCTCACTCTGTCACCCAGCCTGGGCAACAAGTGCAATCTCAACTCACTGCAACCTCTGCGATTCTTGTGGTTCAGCCTTCTGAGTAGCTGGGATTATAGGTCCACGCCACCTCAATGGCTCACTTCTTTGTATTTTTAGTAGAGATGGGGTTTCACCATGTTGGCCAAGCTGGTCTTGAACTCATGACCTCAAATGATCCACCCGACTTGGCCTCCCAAAGTGCTGGGATTACAGGTGTGAGCCACCGCACCTGGCCTCTACAATCATTTTTAATAGCTCGTTTTTTTTACTCTAACAAGTGGCTGGGTTGGATAATACATCTTGAACTGTGTTGACGAGAGGTGATACAGTCCAGGGGTTAGGAGCCAGAAATATCTGGAATCAGACACACTTCAGCATCAGCCCTGAGCTGCCACTTCCTGCTGTGTGATGATCCTCACAAGCCAGGACCCTCTCTGATCAAAGTGTCTACAGCACTTCAGGAGACGGAAAGCCTGTGGGTACAAGCACTGACACGTAGGACGATAGAGGCGTTCAGTCAACATTGTTCTTAATAACATTGTTTGCCACCAGGCATGGAGGCTCACACCTGTTATCCCAGCACTTTGGGAGGCCAAGGAGGGCAGATCACCTGAAATTGGGAGTTTAAGCACAGCCTGACCAACAAGGAGAAATCCCGTCTCTACTAAAAATGCAAAATTAGCCAGGCATGGTGGTTCATGCCTGCAGTCCCAGCTACTCGGGAGGCTGAGACAGGAGAATCACTTGAACCTGGGAGGTGGAGGTTGCAGTGAGCCAAGATCACGCCATTACACGCCAGCCTGGGCAAAAAGAGTGAAACTCTGTCTCAAAAATATATATATACACATATATATTGTTTATCCTCCAAAGGCAAACTACCACCTTCTGCTAGCTATGTGACCTCAGCAGATTAACTTATCTTCTCTGCCATTTTCTCATTTCTAAGATGAAAACAAGAATTCCTAATCTCCAGGCTGGTTTTGAAAATTATCAGATTACATCATTCAGGAAAAGCACAGTGGACTGGGTGCAGTGGTACATGCCTGTAATCCGAGCACTTTGGGAGGCTGAGGCAGGTGGATCATCTGAGGTCAGGAGTTTGAGACCAACCTGGTCAACATGGTGAAACCCTGTCTCTACTAAAAATGTGAAAATTAGCTGGGCGTGGTGGCAGACACCTCTAATCCCAGTTACTCGGGAGGCTGAGGCAGGAGCATGCATGCAGGAGGTGGAGGTTGCAATGAGCCAAGATCACCCCACTGTACTCCAGCCTGGGGGACAGAGCAAGGCTCTGTCACAAAAAAAAAAAAGAAAGAAAGAAAAATGAAAAGCACAGTGGCTTGCCTATCCTGAAATACATGGTAGCAATTGTTAATACTATTGCTATTACTTCTAAATCCCCGAGTTGCTTGAAGGCAGGAACCTTGTGTTTTCACTTCTGTATTCCTAATACTAAATGCCTGGCACATTTTCTTGCAGGAAGGAAAGAAGTAGGCTTCTTTCTGAGGTCCTGCTGTGCTCATCCCCAGTGAGCTTGATGTCAGAGAGAGGCATAGATGGGACACAGAGAAGGCACATGGCTTGGGTGGGTTCTACAGTGCTGCAAAGGTAGAAAGAGGATCTGCCGGAGCGTGGAAGGTTTGCAGATGGTAAAATCTGCTTCTGCTCACACACCTACTAGTGGGAGGGGGATGCTTGCGAAATGTTAAAAATGAGTCAACTTCCTCAGATACAACAAGAACAATAACAAAGATGGTGAGGCAGAGAGAAATAAACAGGGTGTGGGTGGAGAAAAACAGGTACCTGAGCCTGGTGCTTGTGAAACGGAAGGCTTTAGGAGTGTAGGGGAGCGGGGAGGGCGGTCGCTGGTTTAATACAGCTCCTCCCAGATGGGCTAGATCACAGTGGAGCTTACAGATGCTCACTTCGGACTCCTCTAACACCACTGGAGAGATCAAACCCTAGGACATGTTGGCTTTGTAGGTTATCAGATACATCAAGACCACTAACTGTTTCTATCAAAATTTAGGAATTGTGCAGACTCCGGGCTCTGACCGCACGCAAAGGAAGTTCCTTCTCAACCTGTCCTCTTCCTCCAACTGTAAAGTAAGATTATGAAGCAGAATCAAGAGCCTGCACTGAACCTCAAAAGGGAAAGCCCAGGGTTGGAGGCTCCTCGTGCAGCAATGATCAACGGTGCCACCTCAATACCCCACCATCACCTTCAATTCCAGGACCTATTCCCCTGTGGCTCCATAAACCAGGCGGATCAATGGAGAAGGGGCAGCCTGAGAACCCTGGAGGCTTCCCCTAGAATCTGGGCCCCAAATTCCTAGCTTGGAATCTCCCTACTTCATTACGTTCTTATCCCAGGCATAACAATTCTGTTTCCGAACAAACCAACAGGTCTGCTGTATCTAACACCGATGACGCACTCAGCCATAGCTATATGCTGAAGATACAAAATGGACTCAGACGTCCTCTGAGCTCTTCCCCTAAGTTCTGAAGCTAGTTCTGAGCTAACTGCTCAGGACAGAAAACCCAGATTGTAAGGGACTCTGGTCTCTAAGTGAACTGCCCACAAATCCTGAGAATTGTTCCTTTGAATAAATGCATCTGGTTGTTTTGTTGTGTGCATGTTTTTACTCAGAATATAAAAGGTTCTGGAAAACTATGGGTCTCACAAACTGAGCTCTAGTAACTAAGACGGTAACTCCAGGAGGGTGCTCTATCCCTAGAATTTCTTCCGCCAGAATAACCAAGTCGAGAAGTTTGTCAAATGTTCTTTCATAAGCTAGTAGTTTTACTTGTGTGTGGAATCTAGAGCCAGTCCTGACCCTGTCACATCCTGGCTCTGTGACCCTGGATACTAACCCTCTCCATGCCTCAGTTTTCTCTTCTGCAAAATGGGGATGAAAATCATAATACTTACATCTCAGAGGTGCTGTGGGGATCAATGACTAATATCTGAGAGTACCTAGAAGAGTACCTGGCATGGTCTTAAGTACTTTATTCAGTAAATATTTAATAAATGTTGCTATATACACAAACTGTCTTAAAGAGGTAATGACCTACTTTTATTTTAAAGATCTCCAATGGTAGGTTTTAACTTTTAGTTTAGAAACAGAAAGACAACATAAAATAGTGGTTAACAGAAGGAACTATAAAGCCATGTTGCCTGGGATTGGATGCCAGCTCTGCCTCTTTTTCACTGTGTTACCTTGGTCAAATGACTTAACCTCTCTGAGCTTTAGCTTCCTTATCCATAAAATAGAGATAATACTGTCTCCAGGTTTAGGTGAGTTGATAAATGTAAGCCACATAATAGATAATAGCAGAGTATGACAGTTGCTGCTGTCATTGTATCTCTAGGGGAGGTCCCATCAGCAGCTTCCATGATCATATTTGTAACATGTCGAGATGCCATTCAAAGTCCCAGGAAGCCACTAGGCAGCCAGCCATTCTCTTCTCGTCTCAGCTCTGCTGGAAGCTGCTGACTTACAGCTCATCAGTAAATGTGTACCAAGCAGAAATCGATTAAAATTGGCCACATTTGCTGCCGCAGTCTCCTCTGTCCCCATCCCATGGCAGGGCTGAGGGCTAAGGGGGCAGACAGAGGAGCTGTTGCAAGGACTGTGGGGCAGGGGGGCCACTGGCACAGCACCTCTGGCTGCTCCATGGCAACGGCAGCTGCTGGACAGTGGGGCAGCAGCAACGCACTGCAGCAGAGAGGAGAGCCAACTCCTCTCACCAGGCAACGCCAGGCCATTCACAAGGCCAGAAGACAGGAAGATGCCATGCTAAACAGCAGCCCAGATCATGGGACCCAGCCCAACCTCTGACCCCTGGCATAGAGAAACAACACACGTACAAGTCCTTCCCCCAGGCTCACCTGCCCCAAAGAGCCACAAATGCACAGACAAGCTTGGTATCTGTCTTAGTCTGCTCCTGCTGCTATAACAAAATATCTCAGGCTAAGGAACGTATAAATAGAAATGTACTGCTCACAGTTCTGGAGGCTGGGAAGTCCGAGACCAAAGCAGCAGCAGATTTGGTGTCTGGAAAAGCACCATATAGTGGTGCCTTCTGTGTGTTCACATAGCAGAGGGGGTGAAGAGGCTCCCTCAGGCCTATTTTACAAGGGCACTAATTCCATTCACGAAGGCAGAGGTCTCAAGACCTAATCACCTCCCAAATACTACTGCATTAGGGATTAGGTTTCAACACTTGAATTTGTGCGGGGGACACAAACGTTCAGACCATAGCAGCCTCTAAACTTTGCACACAGCTCATGGAGCTGGTGGCCCTGGATCCTTGCTCAACATTGTCAGGTACACAGGAAAAAAAATCACAGGAGAGCTCATGCTAGGTAGAGCGGGGAGGCTCTCACTGGAGACAAATGAAGTGTTTAACAGGAATGAAACTAGAGGTACTTCGGGCAGGCCGCAGAGGGGAGGATTCCTGGAGGAGGGAGCTGGATCTGAAAGGACAAAAGGAAATAAAGGAAGAGGCAGGAAGAGAATGACAATGACATAAGTCCCATAAAACATCCTCCCAGGGAGCACCTTTCTACCCAAAAAGAAACTAATCATTTCAAACAAATTTTTCTCTACCCTCTAGGAAAGGATTGCATTTTCTGCCAGATGGGATTGAAGTGGGCAGATATTTTGTAACTGCACCTCCCTGCCTAGAAAAAAATGTTCCAACTTGTCAGTCATCCTCCATCTCAGATGCATTCTGCCTGCTCCAGGTGATGTGGCCCATCTGACCCATGCAGCTCATTTTCCCAAATATTCCTGCAGCTCGAACTTGGCAAGCATAAGGACTATGATGTTTCATCAGTGTGATAGTACACTCCATTCTTTAGGGACAGCAGCAAGTTTTGAAAATTGGTCCTGATGAAGAACCTCAGATTTAAAGGTATTGGGCAGAGGGTGTTCCATCAGGAACGATTTGCAAAACTTGCCAACATAAACTTTATATATGTACGTTTGTGTGTACATACACATATGTGTGTGTATATATATTTATATTCACTCACCTTACAAGAACTGCCTTATGCTAGATACTTAAGTCTCTGGGTCTCAATTTCTTTTTTTTTTTGAGACGAAGTTTCGCTCTTGTTACCCAGGCTGGAGTGCAATGGCGCGATCTCGGCTCACTGCAACCTCCGCCTCCTGGGTTCAGGCAATTCTCCTGCCTCAGCCTCCCGAGTAGCCAGGATTACAGGCACGCGCCACCATGCCCAGCTAATTTTTTGTATTTTTTTTAGTAGAGACGGGGTTTCACCATGTTGACCAGGATGGTCTCAATCTCTTGACCTCGTGATCCACCCGCCTCAGCCTCCCAAAGTGCTGGGATTACAGGCTTGAGCCACCATGCCCGGCCTCAATTTCTATAACTATAAAAGTATACCTTTTCTCAGGCTCAGGCGCTATGGGGAAAGGATTCTAAGGTTCCATTCAGGTTCAGCACAGAGAAATGTGCTGGGATCCATTAGTGATGTCTGCTGCGGTCACACTAGGGGAACATGGGAGGTGTATGTACCTGCTGGTATTGGTAATTTCTCAAACAGCGGGTAATTTAGACTCTCTAAAGCCCTACTCTTTCAAACATTCTGAGCACTGAGTTATAAAGGCCACATTTATGTGTCCAAAGGAGTCCCTCTGCTGCAGAAAGAGGAACAGTGCTGTCTGTGTTGAGAAGATCCCTCCAGAACCCACCCTCACAATCCCTGAGAGCACACCCCACAGGTCCTCAAGTAAAAGTCACAGAGTTGCTCCTCTGCCAGGACCAGTGGGGATGGAGGAGTGTCTCCCAGCATGAGAAACCAAGCTATTGCTCAGCTATTGAGTCACAGTAACTTCTGTGAGAGTCTAAAATTATCTCCATTATAAGCAGCTTTCATTTTGTAGGCAGGCCACCCGCCCCCAACCTCTGGATACAATTTAGAAGAAATAACAGAGAGGGGAGAATTTCACACAAGTGACAATAAGGACTGGTATAGATTTTGAGATAGGGCTTAGGGGAGAGAACAGAGAAAGAAGTAACTTATGGGGGACCATGAAGCCTCAAAACCTCTCGGTGAGGAATATTCTAGATTCCCATTAAAGCGGTGACATTGAGGCACAGAGTCATCAGGTTAACTCTCATGAACGTCACACAGCCAGAGAATGACTTCCAAGCCCTTGTTCTTTGCATGCCACAGTCATGCTGACTGGACAATACTCCAGAGAGCTAAGTGTGTCCAGAGAATCCAGAACGACAGCCCTAGGAATGGAGGCAAAAGAGGAAGCACAAAGGAATGAGAATGTGGTTTCCACACAGGCCATCCCTGCTTTCCCGAGAAACGTGGTTAAGCACAAGCCTACGGGTTCTGTCCCAACTTCCCAGCAACCACTGCCATTTCCCCACAGCAAGCACAGGGAGAAAATGGTACACAGTGTTCCTTTCTCTCTAAGAGGTAAGCCAGAAGCCAGTCCAATTTCAAGGGCCTGCTGAGCAGAACAACAGAGTACCCTAATTAGCCCAGATTTCCTAATAACTATGCTGGTGATGCCAGAGCCACACAATTTCCCTGGGTCTCCTTATCCTGGTGCATTTGTTCCACCTCTCACTCCCTGCCCCACTGTCTGCAGACTCCTCAAATACTGGTGACAGAGCATCTTGCTGCTGGGTGCTTCCTGAGCCATGGGTTAATACTCAGATAGACAACTTACATAAGTCCTAGACGCTGGGCATGATGGCTCCTGCCTATAATCCCAACACTTGGGGAGCTGAGGTGGGCAGATCACTGAGGTCAGGAGTTCAAGACCAGCCTGGTCAACATGGTGAAACCCTGCCTCTACTAAAAATATAGAAATAAGCCTGGCATGGTGGCACACATCTGTGGTCCCAGCTCATCGGGAGGCTAAGACAGGAGAATCACTTGGACCTGGGAGGTAGAGGTTGTAGTGAGCTGAGATCATGCCACTGCACTCCAGCCTAGGCGACAGAACAAGATCTTGTTTCAAAAAAAAAAGTCCTAGAAAACATGGAGGCTGCCCAGGTGGTCCTGAGAGTCCCAGCGAGGATGGGAGTTCAAAGACATCTACCTGTGGTTTCTCCTCATACCACCATTTACCACCAAGGAGTCCTGAGTCCCCACCACTGAAGTCACGCCTAGATGTAAAAGGCAAATTATCTTATTGGGGGGAAAATAACATTGATATGGTTTGGTTGTGTCCCCACCCAAATCTCATCTTGAATTGTAGCTCCCATAATCCCCATATGTCATGGAAAGGACCCAGTGGGAGGTAATTGAATCATGGGGGTAGATTTTTCCTGTGTTGTTCTCATGATAGTAAGTCTCAAGAGATCTGATGGTTTTAGAAAGGGTAGTTCCCCTGCACACACTCCCTTGCCTGCCACCACGTAAGATGTGCCTTTGTTCCTCCTTCACCCTCTGCCATGATTGTGAGGCCTTCCCAGCCACGTGGAACTGTGAGTCCATTTAACCTCTTTATCAATTATCCAGTCTTGGGTATTCTTCATAGCAGTATGAAAATGAACTGATACAAATACATTGGCAAAGGATCATCCACTCGCATCTTGAACAATCCCATCCCTAGGCAGACTTGGGGGAAAAAAAGGTAAGATTAATGAGGCTTAATATTGGGAGGAAACTAGGCTCCAAGAGCCTTACAGTCAGGGTCCACAGGAATAATATCGTAACACCAGTGGTTACATTTTTTGCACACCCAGTAAACCTTGAGCACTGTGATTTCGGCTTTAGAGGCACTATCTCATTTAATTCTCTCAAGAGCACCATGAGGTGGACAATATGATCTCTAAAGATAAGAAGCTGAGGGATTGAGAGATGAGATGACTTGCCCAAGGCAACACACTAATCGTCATTCATTCAACATACATTTATTCCACATGTGGCTCCGGCACTGCCCCACATTGGGAGCCACAGAATGGCAGAGCGAGATCCACACCCAAGTGTTTAGACTCTGGAGTGTGTCTGGGCTTCTGTAATGCCCCAGTGGGCTGGCTTCAAAAGGAAACCTCAGGTGTTTGCTGAACTATGAAGACACACAGACGAGACCCACCTGGGAAATGCAGGTCTCAGCCCACTCTGTTGGAGGGGGGTCCTCATCCTTGGAGCTGCAGGAAGGGGGAAGACTAGAGGGAAACAGGGTCCTGTTAGAGCTCCTGGGGGCAGAGACTGAGTCTACCTGATCCTCGATGCTCCTCAGCGACTCCATGTAGATCTCAAATAACTGTCCCGGGAACATATTCCAGCCATACCTTAGCAGTGCCAGCCCCCCAGAACCACTTACACAGAGGGTAACCAAGAGCAGGCTGTGGAGTCAAATGATACTGAGCGCCTATGAGAAACTGAGAAATCTTCCCCATCTGACCCATTCCAGAGCCAAGCAGAGCCTACCTCGAACCCCTCCCGACCCATACAACCCTAGGGAGCCCCTTATGTGTGTGCTGAAAACCGAGAGCAGACATCCACAACTACTCCCACCAGATCAGAAAAATAACACCAATCCCCACCATCTCACCATCATCCACGGAAGATGGGTGGGTTTATTTCCTGCCAATTTATCATGGAAAAGGTCATGTTCTGTGAGGCTATTGAACAAGCTAAAATTAAACTTATGGAGGAAAAGCCTATTATGACTATTGGAGAATTCATGCATGTAGCATTGGAGACAGTCAAGGTAAACAAAAAAGTCTTTAAGCTGATGGATGGTGTGACCTAGGAAATACAAAGATGAATGGGAAAGACAAAGACCCCAAGCTTTCTCAGGAGCACAAAGTACCATGAGCAAGAGTGAAAAAGGATATCATGGAAGTGATCACAACAACTGCTTTGAATGTTTCCTTCATGCTGGACATGGTCTCAGCACAGCATACACTAACAGATCAACAACAGCCAGGGACAGTGGCTCACACCTGTAATCCCTGCATGGAGGGAGGCCGAGGCAGGTGGATTACTTGAGGTCAGGACTTTGAGACCAGCCTGGCCAACACGGCAAAACCCTGTCTCTACTAAATATACAAAAGTTAGCAGGGCTTAGTGGCAGGTGCCTGTAATCTGGGTTGAGACACAAGAATCACTTGAATTTGGGGGGATGGGAGGCTACAGTGAGCCGAGATCACACCACTGCACTCCAGCCTGGGAAACAGACCAAGACTATACCTAAAAAAAGTACATATACATGAACTTCACAACAACCCTCTATGAGGCTTTCTATTACTATCATGCCCATTTCACAGATGGGGAAACTGAGGCACCAAAATGGTAAGCCAACACAGCAGATAATCGAAAACGCCCGTTTACCCCATAGTGTGCTCTGAGAAGGTGCCAAGAGGCAGACAAATGCTCAGTCATCATGAATTGCCACCTCTGTTGCCTATATGAGAATTCACAAAATCCTGTCTCTCATGCTCAGGTGGGGCACCCAAAAACTCAGCCCTAACTCAACGTAGCAACAGGACCGTGGGCAGGCCAGGCAGGCAGGCTTTCTGGTCCTCTGTGAGATAAGGATTGGATTAATAATGCCTAAGCCTCCTTGAGCTCTAAAATCTTGCAACTAAACCAGGATATGATAACCTTTCATTGGATAATGATTTGGAGATCATTGAGAAATGGGTGGCAAATTGTGAACACACTGAACCAAACCAATTTGCAAATAGGACAAAGGGCAGTCGCTTTAGCCTGAGGAGACTTTTGAGTTTTGTTCTGGGTCAGGGAAGGCTCTGGAAGGCCCAAGCAAAGGTTCTGACCGCTACTTCGGGCTCTGTGCTTTTCCTACCAGAGTAACTCAGGTCCAGGGGGCAGATGGCCTCATCATCTCTGTGTTTACAGTGCTGCAGGTGACCCTTGAAGGCAGTAGGAAGTCTAAATCCCTTCAAAATGTTAATTCCCAAATCACCTCTGTCCACCTAGAGCTAGTTTTCCTAGTTCTGCTCACTTGACCTCTGTGGGACCTGAGCCCTCTCCTACCAGCACGAGCGGCCTTTTCAGTCGTGACCCCTATTTCTGCGAATCAGTTCCATCCTGGGTGGGGTACAGCACTGCTAGGAACACCACCAACCAGAGCACAAGCGTCCCCTCCGTGTCAGTGGCATTTCTGGAAATGAGGCCCAGCCAGGAAGATGGGGGGTGAAAAGGGACCAGATATATCCAGAGAAGAAACACCAGACTGGAACCAGAAGCCTGAGCAGTAGGAGTATTGAGGGTCTGAGCTCTGGAGTCCAACACTCCCAAGTTCTAACCTGTCCTCTGACTTCTCTAAGCCTCAGTCTTCCTATCTCAAAAATGGACCTAACAATGGGACCTAAGCAATAAGACCATTGTGAGGATTAACTGGAAGTAGCACATAGGAAGCTCTTAGCACAGTGGCCGGCACAGAGCAAGCATTCAGTGACAATAATAATACAGAGAATACGGGCGTTGTTTTCAGGGAGACTCCAGCAGAATCAAATCATGCCCAGTTCTAGCTGTGGGTGAGCCCTGAATCATTTCCACTTCCAGGTTCAGAATTCTCTTTCATTTTGCTGTGCCAGAGACTTCACTTGTTCCCCAAAACCTGGTCTTGCCTTCTTTCAAAGTGTTAAAAATGAGTCAGGCATGCTCGCGCCTAGAATAAAGACCCGCTAAAAACCCCTTTGAGCAAGTACGCCACATGGCCCAGTTCTGACCAATGGGATATGAACACACCCTTTGTCACTGTTCCCCTTTTCGCTGCAAGGGATAAGAAGGTAGTAGAGGGCCATCTTGGGCTACATGGATAAGGTCAACACTCGGTGGGGGAGCAGAACAACAAGACGGGAGAGGGCTGGGCTTCCGATGCCATGGCGTCGCCAGGTCAGGCCATGTCAGGACTGTTTTGTGACAGATGAACTTTGGTCTTCTGTAAGCCATAGCTATTTGGGTGCCATGGAACGGCAGTCAGTCTTATAACCTAATACACTCATGTTTCTTCATCTGACCCTCACAAGTAGCATAAGAGGCTGGTAAAATTATCTTACTCTCTCACAGATGGGAAAAAGTACCACAAGGAAGCTAAGTGACTAGTCCAAGCCAAACCTCTCTGAGTGACTGTGTTAGAATTTCAGCTTCAATTTGAGTGCTCTTCTCCCAGGTTATGTGACACTTCTGTTGCAGACTCTGTCCCCAGGAGACATGGCTGATCACAGCAATGTCACGGCAGAATTTGATTCTCAGTAAATCCAGTGAGCACCTTGGCGTTCTGCTAATTCTAAGAAACAGAAGAATGCATAAAATAAAGCCCCCATCCTCAAAGAGCCCACAGTCTCATACACAGGTTTACAACGGAGGGTGCAGCAGGACAGTCTCCAAAGGGTTTTCAGATTCATTATGGAGAAGCCGAACAAGGACATGAGCTGCAGAAACTAAGCTTGTAGAGGTTAAATGACTAATCTGAGATTGCTCCATAAGTGGGATAACTGGAACTAGAACCCTTATCTTTCAAATTCAAGTCTTGTGCCCTTTCTGCTGCCCAAATATCATGTGCCATAAAGTGCTGATGCCGCCTGCTGGCGCATGACCATCCCTTCCCAACCCTCTCTCATGATGCTTCCTGGCGCTCATCCGTATTTTTGAGTTTGAACAGCACAAATCAAATTCACCCCATGTAAGACTGAATTCCTAGAAGGTACCATGAGCGCTCCTATGTCTCAACCAAACCTTCCCGCTGCTCTGCCATGTTGAATTCCGAGATTAACTACAAAGCAATGCCTCTCTATCTACGAGCAGAAGGGAAACTGTAAACAGGGTTGAATAGAATAATGTTAATACAACTGCCTTATCTTTTTCAATAGTAATTTGGTTTCCTGAAGGCCTTGATGTGCCTCTGGTGGATACTAACCTGAATTGTAATCAATCAACCTTGACCATTAAGACCCTATATAACCTAACCCTTGCCTGCCTCTCCCACTCCAGTCCAGCCTCATCATTTCACTAACATGCCCAGCTCATCCCCATCTCCGAGCCTTTGGCCTTGGTATTCCTTCTGCCACAAACAAAAATTCCTTCTCCCCTTAGAACTTCCCATGGCTCACCCCTTCTCGTCCCTTAAATCTCTGCTCAAAAGCCGCCTCTTCAGGGAAGCCTTCCTCAGTGGTACCTTCCAAAATACTAGGTTGGTACAAAAGTAATTACTGTTTTCTCCATTACTTATAAACGGCAAAAACCACAGTCACTTTTGCACCCGCCTATAGCTTTCCCACTTCGTCTAGTTTCCTAGCCCTGCAGGAAATGGCATTCTTCACTACCCCAAATTATGTCATTTACCATGCATGTGTTCAGTTATTTAATTTTAATTTTTTTTTCAAGATGGAGTCTCCTTCGGTCTCCAGGCTGGAGTGCAGTGATGCGGTCTCGGCTTACTGAAATCTCTACGTCCCAGATTCAAGCAATTCTCCTGACTCAGCCTCCCAGTTAGCTGGGATTACAGGCATGCGTGACCACACCCAGCTACTTTTTGTATTTTTAGTAGAGCCAGGGTTTCACCATGTTGGCCAGGATGGTCTCAAACTCCTGACCTCATGATCTGTCCACCTTGGCCTCCCAAAGTGCTGGGATCCCAGACACAATTTTTCCTTTTTTTTGAGTCAGAGTTCCACTGTTGTCACCAGGCTGCAGTGCAATGGCACAATCTCAGCTCATTGCAACCTCTGCCTCCCAGGTTCAAACAATTCTTCTGTCTCCACCTGCAGAGTAGCTGTGATTACAGGCACCCACTGCCACGCTTGGCTAATTTTTGTCTTTTTAATTCTAAGTCCTGGGGCAGCAGGAGTATCTCTAATTGAGACTTTTCGCAAGTGATTTTAGGTTTCTATGTGGGTGACTGCCTCCTAAGCAGGTGAGTCACAAACCCATCTTAAGAGCACAGCTGCATTCTCCACTGGAGGTTGGTGGAGTAGGCTTCTGAGGCAGGGCTGTGTCTTACATGGTTGTGTTCCTGTGTAAGGGTTACAGGCATAATTTCGACTCCTGATCTCAGGTGATCCACCTGCCTCGGCCTCCCAAAGTGCTGGGATTATAGGCATGAGCCACATCGCCCAGCCGTGTTCACTTATTGATAGTCTGTCTTCCCCACCAGAATGGAAGCTCTATGAGGGTAGGGACTTGGTTTACTTTAATGCTTTCTCCTTAGTCCTGGAATGAAGCCTGGCACATAGGAGGCACTCAGTAAGTATTTGAGAAGTGAGTGGATGAATTAATCTGTGGAACGTTTACTGCATGCCAAGTACTGTGCTAGGCTCTGAGGATACAGCGACTGAAAAACTAAAACAAAATAACAATCCCTGTCCTTGAGTTTATAGCTTGGAAAGGTGATACAGAGAGATGCGCCCAAATCCAGAAGTGCTAGGAGAGTACCATGGTGTTCCAGAAGCACCAAAGAGGAAACACCATCCCTGTTCCGGCCGCACTGATTGAGATCGAGGAACTACAGCCCCACCCTCTCGGTGGGAACACAACCGTGTAAGACACAGCCCTGCCTCAGAAGCCTGCTCCACCGCCTTCCAGTGCAGGCTCCACCCACCTCCACTGGAGAATACAGCCCTGCTCTTAAGATGGGTTTGTGACTCACCTGCTTAGGAAGCAGTCACCCACATAGAAACCTAAAATCATTTTTGAAAAGTCTCTATTAGATATGCTCCTGGTACCCGAGGACTTAGAATTAACAATCTCTAAGCCAGTCACAGTGGTTCAAGCCTGTAATCCCAGCACTTTGGGAGGCCAAGGTGGGCGGATCACTTGAAGTCAGGAGTTCAAGACCAGCCTGGCCAACATGGCGAAACCCAGTCTCTACCAAAAATTACAAAAATTAGCTGGGCATGGTGGCACGCACCTGTAGTCCCAGCTACTTGGGAGGCTGAGGCAGGAGAATCGAATAAACCCAGGAGGTGGAGGTTGCAGTGAGCCAAGATCGTGCCACTGCACTCCAGCCTGGGCAACGGAGTGAAACCGGTCTCAAAAAAGAAAAGAAAAGGGAGAGAAAGAGGGAGAGAGAGAGGGAGAGGGAGAGGGGGAGAGGAAGGGGGGGGAGAGAGAATTTCTGCTAAAGAGAATGACACAGCACAACAGAATTAATTCTGTACACTTGAGGAGGGGAGGGGGTACAGACATGGGAGCCTCCAATTTGCAGGAATTGATACAATTCAGATGAACTTCATTCAGAAAATAAGGAAACATAAAGCCCCCTTCCCAGCTCTTCCTTAAAACAAATCATTAAGACAGGTGCAGAGGAGACTAGGAGACAGCCAGGCAGAGGGCTGGGGGTTCGGTTTCAAGAAGCCCCCATCTCAAGCCACAGACAGGTGCAAAGGCTTTACAAGGTCCTGCTCTGGCCCTGGCATACCCACCAGCCGGGAAGGCATCAGCTCTTCCCTTTATTCACGGAGGCTGCTGGGGTAGGAGGGCAAAGAGGCAGAAGGGGTGCTGTGCAAAAGCCGAGGCTGAAATACTGATGAGGGGGAGAAACCGCACATCACAACTGGAGGACAGACGCTGCTGCCACGGCTGGAAAGGGTCCTCTCAGCTCAGCAGAGCTGGTCCTGTCTGGCCCTGGGTGGCACTGCCCTCGGCTCCAGCTCTGGGCCTCTCTACAGGCTGTCCCCACCCCAGAAATGCAAGCCCTGCTTTCCTGCCTCTACACTTCCTTCCCCCAAGTCAGACCTACACCCCCACGAAGGCTTCTCTGATTGCAACAGCCCACACTGAAAATCACAGAAACCTGGGGATGCTTCAGGATTAATTCAGTTCCCACATTTCCCTGGAAGAAGAATCCGGGTGCGTGAGATGGAGTGAGCTGGTTCCCTCTCCTCTCTCCCCACCTCCTTCCCTCCTACCATGCTCCTGCTCCTCCTAGGGACAATCCACCCTCCTTCACTACAGACTCCTTCAATTCACTCAACAAATGTTTCCTCCTCTCCCACCCTCTCCCTTCAAGATCAAGGCCTGCCAACCAGTGCCAGTGGATGTGACCTTATTTGGAAAAAGGGTCTCTGCAAATGTCAAGTTAAGATGAGGCTATACTGGAGTAGTGTGAGCCCTAATCCAATGACTGGTGTCCTTACAAGAAGAGGGAAATCTTTTTTTTTACCCAGGCTGAAGTGCAATGGTGCAATCTTAGCTCTGCCTTCAAGCGATTCTCCTGCCTCAGCCTCCCAAGTAGCTGGGACTACAGGTGCACGCCACCACACCCAGCTAATTTTTGTATTTTTAGTAGAGACGGGTTTTCACCATGTTTTCCAGGCTGGTCTTGAACTTGGACCTCCAGCCAAGCCTTGATCCCAGACTTCCAGCCTCCAGAACCATTAGAGGACAAATTTCTGTTTCAAGCAACCCACTTTATGATCATGGGAATATGTATGTCTGCCTTCACAACCTAATACACCCACCCTGCCAAATTCCAGCATCATACTCATCCTTTTCCTGTATCCCTCTTAGCTGGGAGCCAGCTGAACCACCTGGAATAAGTCTCCTGAGGTCTCAGAGCCTCAGTTTCTCCTCTGTAAAATGGGGCACCATGGGGCCTCACACTAAGATCTAACATCTTAGATGTTAGAGACAATATGTGTAACTAATGTATACATATACTGCAGCTGCCTGGGCCAAGTGTTCCAGGGTCTGATTCAGGAGAGCTGCCCCTCCCACCACCTGTCAGTAATCGCTCTCCCTCCCTTCCAGCGAGACAGGCACCATCCTTTCTCATCCACCTGCACTCTGCCCAGACAGCAGCAGGGGCTGGACTCCCCAAGGCTGCCTTTGTGCGGCTGGCAACACACAACCTGTTGCTTTTAAGGACAGGCCCCTTGCCAGCTCCATCTGCCTCGGGGACCAGCTGTTTAATGGAGCCTAGAGTTGGCTCCAGGGGAGACAATGAATTTTAATACTTCCGGACACTGCAGTCAGTCAGAACCCAGCCTCCCAGGCAGGGCCATGAGGGACTTCGAAATGGTGGGGCCCAACCCCCATCCTGGACCTCTGAGTTCAGGGCGGCTGCGCTGCTTGTCCAAGATCCCACAGCTGGGTAGTGGCCATCAGTTCCCAAACCAGAGAGAACCAGCTGTTGCTCTGAGCCCTACACAGAACAGCATCTTTTATAAAGTTAAAATGTGCAGAGAGGAAGACAGGAAATGAGGGAGAAAGAGGCAAAAGGAGAGGTGTGTGCCTCCTGTCTAGAAAATGAATGAAATGTCTTCTCGGATCACTCCAGATGACAGAAATTTAACCCACAAATCTAAAAAGTAAAATCCCTATTACAAAATTATATTTCCCCCTTCTCTGGGTCAACTCTTCCTTGCCCTACGCATCTTCAGTCCCCATTCTGCCCACCATTCCCACAGATACTCTCTTCCATGGGTTCTCCCAGAGAATAGAGACACTGACCCTGCATGGTGCCCTTCCTCCAGAGAGCAAGCCACACGGCGTGCACAACCTCAACTGCTACCTCCCCCTGACGTGGCTGGAATCAGAAGCGTGGCTTTCACAAGCTTGGCATTGACAAAACATTTTCGAGGTGAACTTGATAAGTCCCGCATTAACACTGACTGCCATTTGCCTAACACAGCATTGAGTGAGTAAAAGAACAAATGAACAACTGAGCGAATGGATGAAACAGTTGAGCTCACAAGCTCGGAAAGTGGGTTTCCACTAACTCAGTAACATACCTCCCCATGAACCCCACTGCAGCCTCGAGTCCCTCTTTTTCCTGATTCTGGATGAGGAAAGCAGGATCACTGGTTGACTGGCTCGGGGTCTGAGGTTTTGGTCCTGGCCCAAACCCACAGGAACCATAACAGAGCCGCATGGAGACAGCATAGGAGGGCTCTCTGAGGGCAGCTAGTGCTGGCATTTTCACCTGTTTTTAAGTCCTGGAAGCCTCTGTTAAAACAAAATCTTAAGCAGAAATCTCATTGCACAGATTGAAGCAGAGCTGCTCTGGCAGAGAGGCAGGGGATGCTTACTCCTCCTCCATCCTCCCCAGCAGCCCCTGAGATTTCTCTGTGGGACCTCAGGTTCCCTGGTACCCAGGGTGAAAATGCCTGATCCAGGACATGCCTCTTGCTTTATGCAGCAGAGGAAATGGAAGCCCAGAGCAAGGAACGTACCCTGAATCATCACCTGGAGCAGTGATGCCAGCACCAGAGCCCATGCATCCTTGCTCCTGGTCTGCCCTCATCTCCAATCACTTTGCCAATCACTGGTCAGCCAGGCCCATCAAGATGGGCATTTCCTCTCTAGGACATGGTGCCCCTGTCTCTGGGCCTTGGCACATGCTCTTCCCTCTGCCTGGATTGCCCCTCCTCTCAAACCTTTGATCCCCTCTTGTTATCTATGGTAGAAAGACTCTAAGGTAACCCCCAGTGACCCCCAAATCCTGGTATTCACAGCCTGTGTAATGCCCCAACCCCCTTGAGCATAAGCCAGCCTAATTTGCTTCTAAATAATAGAATACAACGAAGGCAAGGATATATTGCTTGCATGATTACATTACATCAGATTATCACTTCCCTTGTGCCATCACTCTCTCTCAATGGCTTTGATGAAGTAAGCTGCCTTGCTGTGAGCTGCCCAGAGACACCCACATGGCAAGAATCAAATCCTGCCAGCAATCATGTGATCTTGGCAATGGATCCTTCCCCAGTCAAGCCTTCTCATGAGACCCCAGCCATGGCTGACACCCTCACTAAAGCCTAAGAGAGATGGTAAGGCAGAGGACCCATCAAAGCCATGCTTGTACTTCTGATCCACAAAAACTGTGAGATCATAAATATGTGCTGTTTTAAGCTGCTAGATTTGTGACAATTTGTTATACAGCTGATACAGTTTGGCTGTGTCCCCACCCAAATCTCATGTTGAATTGTAATTCCCAATGTTGGGGGCGGGATCTAACATTGGAAGGTGATTGGATCATGGCAACAGATTTTCACCATGCTGTTCTTATGATGGTGAGTTCTCACAGGATCTGATGGTTTAAGGGTGTGGCTTCCTCCCCCTAATTCTCATTCTCTTTCTCTCTCTCATTCTCTCTCTCTCTCTCTCTCTCCTGCGTTATCATGTGAAGATTTGCTTGCTTGCCCTTCACCTTCTGCCATGATTGTAAGTTTCCTAAGGCCTCCCAGCCATGCTTCCTGTGGAACTTTTCTTCATAAATTACCCAGTCTCAGGTAGTTCTTTATAGCAGTATGAGATTGAACTAACGCAACAGCATTGGTCACTAAGACATTGCCCTAGGGCATTACCACTTGCCTTTGGAAATTCAGCTCAAAGTGCGCTTCCTATACGAAACCCTCCCTGAGAAGTTAGGCTCTCCCTCCATAACTATCACCATGAGCATCCCCACCACCACCATTTCATCATCTTCATCATCCTCATCATCACAACTAACATTTCCTGATGGTCCACTTTATTCCAGGTACTTTGCTCAGTCTTTACATTTATTAGCTCATTTAATCCTCACAACAGATGTACAAGGAAGGTACTGTTACTTAACCTCATTTTAATGATGAGAAAACTGAGGCACAAGAGATTTTAGAGACAGCCTGGGGTCTACTCTTTCTCATACTGCGTCTCAACACCACAGTTATAACTAGTTACTGACTTTTCCATCTCTCCTTGTATTTCTCATAGAGACAGAGAGAAATAGAAAACAAGATCATCTCAGAGGCTGTCTTCTAAGAGCTAAAACAGGCAGTGGGAGCTACTTTAGATTTGGGCCATGGGAGAAAACAAAGTCTCTCTAGGTGGCAACATTTTTGCTGAGATGGGAATGAAAGGAAGACAGCTGAGTAATGACCTAGAGGAAGGTTGGACATGGCAGCTCACACCTGGAATCCCAGCACTGTGGTAGGCCAAGGCAGGAGGATCACTTGAGCCCAGGAGTTTGAGACCAGTCTGGGCAATGCAATGAGACCCCATCTCTACAAAAAAATGAAAAGTTAGTCAGGTGTGGTGGTGTGCACCTGTAGTCCCAGCTACTCAGGAGGCTGAGGTGGGAGGATGGCTTGAGCTCAGGAGGTCAAGGCTGCAGTGAGCTGTGATTGTACCACTATACTCCAGCCTGGGTGACAGAGTAAGACCCTGTCTCAAAAAAAAAAAAAAAAAATACAAAAAACAAAAAAGATCCAGAGGAAGAACATCTGAGCAAATGGGAAAGGAAGGTCTGGAGGCAGGAACAAGCTCAAGTGTTTCATCTTGTCACACCAAAGTGACATACAGTGTTAGGCCTTCTGACTCAGGGTATGGTCCCTGGACCAGCAGCATCAGCATCACCCAGAAACCTGTTAGAAAGGCAGACTCTCAGCCCACCCCAGATCTACCAACAGAATCTGCATGTTAACAACACTTCCTAGTGATCTGTGTGTACAAGAAAGTTTGAGAAACTCTAACTTACTCAAAAAATGCTTGTTGAATGAATAAACAAACGAATGCTCTGCAGATCAAGTTTCCAGTTCCAACTGCACCCCTTCCAGCACCCAGACAGCAGAGAAGGTGTCAATTTCACACCCCATAAAGCAGGCTGACAGACAGCTGTCACAGCAGGCAAGGAGACCACCAGTATCAAATCACCCCACAGCTGCCCCACACCCACGTCGCCCCACCTTGGTCTCTTTCCACCTCGCACCACTTCCATACGGCCTCACATGAAGTTTTAGATTCAATTACTAGTCCCCAAATGGCTATCAAACCCACACAACTTGGCTAAAAATACTCTTCACACTTGTTAGGCCTCCCCACCCTTAAATCACTTCGAGGAATCTGACAGCTGTAATTAGCAAAATATGTCAATCCAGCCTTTTCACAGAGAGGATGCCCTTCTAAGTTACATTGGCACAGCTCAAGTCGGAAAGAAGGAGGGTGATTATCTCATCTCTTCTTGCAAGACTGGGTGATTCTAGCAACATGAGCCAGGGCTTTTGTTGCTTGAAGCTGACCTCTCTAACCATCCATAACCAATAGATGATTACGAAAGCAAGCAGTCACAGGACATACGTTGAAAACCAGCCAACTTCCCTGCACACTACCTGTCAGCATTCGGAGGCCCTCACCCTAGTGTGCGGATCTAGGAGGTGTCAGCTTGACCCCACACCTCCTTTGGGGTCTTAATGTGAAAACAGATTGAGGCAACCTGCAGTTGCCTATTAATTTTTCCTGTCGAAAGTCTGCCAGGGAAATCAGAACATCTGTAGAACTGGAAACTGCTTTCCTTTCTTAATAGAGCCATTCCCAATCTGGGAGGATAGCAAGTGAATCCCAATCCACACTTCAATATGACAGAGTAGGTGGCCTTTGAAATACGGCCAAGGCCTGAAGAGTGCTACGAAAAAAGCTATAGTGTCTCAAGAAGGGACCATCAGCACTCACCTTATTTTCCTCTTTATCCAGGCCACTAGAAAGAGGGAAAAGAAAAGAGAGATGTGAAGATTTAGTGAAGTCCTAGGGTAAAGTTAAACTTTGGCCAGCCAGCTGACACAAAACATGTGGACATCACTTGTGAGAAGTTAAAGCCTGCACCATACAATTGTATATACTCATATAAAGTGACGCAGCGACATCGTCTGCCTCTTTTACCCCTTGACCGTCAACGAAATAAGAAGGAGTTCCCTGTCCCTTTCTGCTCTTCACTCTGATTTCAGGTGAAGTGTCTCTTAGCCAAACAGTGCACTGACTTTTAAAATGCATTAGGATCCATATGGGCAAGAGAGAGTTTTCCATTCCAAGACCCCTTAGAGCCATGGTTGGCAAACAATGGTGTGTAAACAGTGTGAGTGGGTGACAGCCACACCCATTTGTTTATTGCCTCTAGATGCTTTCCCTCTACAACTGCACAGTTGAGAAACTGACAGACAGTATGGTCTGCAAAACCCAAAATGTTTACTGCCTGGTTCTTTAAACCCAAAGTTTGCCAACCGCTGCCTGAGAGGAACAAGGCAAGGTTCAAAGTAGGACATTTTCCATTCTGCTCAGATAAAGATCAAAATATTTGGCTGATGACTGAATACTCAGATGCGGCTCTCTAACTTAGTTTTGCCCTTTATAACACGGGAGGTCAGACCATATGGGGAAATGCCAGCCGACCCCGGAAACACTATCAAACAACAAAGAACCAAGCTACTCCTGCACTGGGGGTCACAGCTCTACACTGCAAAGCCTAAAAGAACTATTGCCTTCAACCAATGTTCTTCTGGACATCGACTCGGCGTGGATACAAGGGGTGCCTCTAGTTTTACAAACAGCCCAGAGAGGTCAGGTAGGTGTTGATTCTGACCTCCAGTGCAATTTACATCCTGCTGAGAAATAACGAGTGGCATCTTTTAACCTTGGTGCCACCAGGCTTCTCCTCTAGCTGAAGTGAGTCATCATTTCAAAACAGGGTCCATGTCTTCCAGATTTGTTTATAGGCTTTTTTTTTTTTTTTTTTTTGGAGATGGGGTCTCACTCCATCGCCCAGGCTGGAATGCAATAGTAAGATCAGAGCTCACTGCAGTTTTAACCTCCCAAGCTCAAGAGATCCTCCCCACTCAGCCTCCCAGGTAGCTGGGACTATGGGAACGCATCACTATACCTGATTAATTTTTGTTATTTTTTGTAGAGACGGGGATCTATGTTTCTCAGAGTGGTCTCAAACTCCTGGGCTCAAGCAGTCCTCCTGCCTTGGCCTTCCAATCAGCTTCAATAGAAAGTTTAGGCCTGTCTATCCCATGGCGCCTCCTGCCAGAACTGTTCATCTCCTTACATCAATTCCTTCCCTTCCTTTGTTTCTCTCACCGGACCTCTTATGAGGTGGAACCCATAAATCACTTGTAATCTCATTTGTTAGTCTGTCTGTTTAACGAAACTGACACCAGGTTATAAAAATCTGCAGAAATCATGAAGAGGATGCTAAGACTATGGGAATATCCCTCAGTGCAGTTCTGGCCTTCTTTCCCCCAGCAATGATCCCAATTAAGCCATTTTCTTTTCTTCGATATTTCTGACCTATCACCACTTCTCTCTTGGTTTTGGTCTCGTTTGGCTTTGTTTTGGTTTTGTTCAGTGGGGATAAGAGGAAGCTGGATCAAAGCAGCTGCAGGAACCTACCAGGAAGTGGCCTGACAAGATGGAACTTTTCTCCATCCTGGAAAAAAAGATCGCCAGGTGCTGCAACGGCCCTTTCTGAGACTGTGTGCCCTTTTGTGTTAACTTTTCTAATCCCCCTTTCCATCCATATTGAAGCAAAACCCAGAGCTTTCCAAATAGGCACTCTGAGTTGCTCAAACTATTGCCTGCCACAGAATTGCAGTAACTCCAGACTCTCCAATGTGAGCAACTAGCCCAGCAGGGTATGTAAAGGAGCATGCTGACCTGTAATGAAGGCACTCTGCAGTGGACAGCCCCACCCCTCACTCTGCCCGCCTCACTCCTGTCGTGGCCATCCCCACTCCAGCACATGCAGAACTGCACAGCGCGACTCAACCATGGTGCATCTGCACACACGGGGCTCCAGTTTTCATTCCTGGATGCTTTATTGCAATCATTCTGACAAGCTGTGTAGATTTCCCACCTCCCCACCTCATTTATCACTGTGGTTGGAACCTGTTTGGTTTTCATACCAACCATTCAATATGAAAGACCAGGTCAGTGTCTGATGTTTGGAGCGCTATCCATGAAAATGAAAGAACACAGTGAGAAATTTTAGAATTTTGATGATGAGGAGTCTAGTTCACTTTGCTAAAAAGGCAATTTTGTGTCTGAAAAATAACCCATTCTGCTTGAAAGGTCTTGTCTTTTCAGATAATCTTGCTTATCCCACAGTCCTCCTCCTCCTTGGTTGACAGATGGCTGCCTGTGTTCAGGGAGGCAAGGGGCCTTGCCTGAAGGAACAACACCTGAATGGCCCAAGAAAGACACGGCATGGTCATTTTCCTTGGCCAAACTTTCCTCGCCTCTTCTGCAACTAGGAAAGACCATGCAACCCAGTTCTGGTCAATGAGATGCAAAGAGAAGACCACTAGGAGGGTCCTGGGGAACCTGAAACAGAGGAAGCCCTCAGTAAATTTGAACATTGTTAGTGTCATCACCGTGATTACTATTAATTTTAATAACAAATTAATTTTCTTCTCTTTTCTCTCTCCCTTTTTTCCCCCCGTCCTTCCAGTGGTGAGCTGGAGTTAGATTGTACCAATTCTCTAGAATTTACAGTGACCATCTCTTCCCAACACTGAGCTCACTGACATCACACTGGTAGTATGAAATCAGCCATTATAGGAATATTTACACCACGGAAAATTGCAAATGCTACAAATCAGAATTTTTCCCCAGAGATCTAATTGTTAAACATTTACCAGCACATCACTTCTACCTGACTTCTCACCTTCTTCTCTCTTTCTAACCACACATCTTCTTATCATAAACCACTGAGCACCTACTATGTGCCGGGCATTAGGCCAGGCTGTCCTTGGGAGCCCAAAGGTGAATAAGACATGGCTCTGACGTCAGTGAGTTTACAGTCTGGCAACAAATCTGCATCGATTAAGAACAGAAAGGTTCTTAGTAAAAGAAAGGTTGAAAGTAACAGAAAGCCCAAGCATCAGCGACTGATTTCAGAAAGTCTGACAGTGGGAGGGCAGCTCTGGCCACCCCACAGTCATCAAGGATCCCACTAGCTTCACCCTCTCATCCACCATCGTCTGCATATCAACCTTTCCCCTTCACACTCTTCATCATGTGTACAAGGGAGCTGCCACACTTCCGGTTATCAAGACTGTATTCAAAAGCAAGAATCAGGAACCTTTTTCTTTTTATCCAGAGAAAATAATTTAATTCTCATAATAAATTCATGAGATAGATACTATAACTATTCTCATTTTGTTGCTATGGAGATTGAAACCCCAAAAAGATTAAATAAATAATTTGCTCAGGGCCACACAGCTTGAGTAGCCAGAACATAAACCCAAGATTCTGATACCAGAGTGTGCTGGTGTCAGATATACTACTCAGAGATTCTGGCACTTAGAAGCAAAACCATGCAATGTACTACTCAGCTGTGCCGTCTTGTACTATTCTCTCATGTTTGCAGGTACTCACCATTTAGCCTAAGACTTCTTGTTGCTCAAGAATGAAAAACCCATTTGCTCATCTGCCTACACTCTGCTCCCCCCACCCACAGTTATGGGCATGGAATTAGATGCCTGCACTTGTTAACTGGCCAGGGAAATACTCCCATGCACCCATCTTAGCTCTGAAACACGCAACCTGAATGGAAAATCTTGCTGCTCCTGATGCCGGGAGGCCTGCATTTGGCTCCTTCCTGTTCTAATTACCCACTTGAAAACCTAAAGACTTGGGCTCCAGTCTACTTGGCAATCAGACCTTCTCCTTGGCCCATCTTCCTGCAACTGCACACCTCCCTTTCCGGGGCTGCATTCCTTTTTTCCTGTGTCCATTCCTCGGGAAGAGCTTATGATTTCTGCCTGTCTCAATAACTCCCCCATCACAGAAAATTCCAACCTTACTGGCACCACACTATACACTCATATTCCTTCCTAGACTCAGCTAGAGAAAAAGATCAGTCTTTGCAAGAGTAGCCAAAGATCTGAGTGCTTTATTACTGATAATTTCTTTAATAGAAAAAGTGAGTTCTCCCCTTGGTTTCTGCCAGAATCAGAAATCCTGCTCTGCAAAGAAATTCTTTGGAAATCTCAGCACCACTTCACTAGTACTCTGGAGGACACTGTTCTAAAAGGCACAGCCTGGGATCGTACTTGTCACAGCAAGTTTGGGCTCATGTCCTGAGCATGTACCAACCACCCAAGGAAACACACACGGTTGATCCTATCACCACTTCTCTTTTGGTTTTGGTCTCGTTTTGCTTTGTTTTGGTTTTGTCCAGTGGGGATAAGAGGAGGCTGGATCGAAGCAGCTGCAGGAACCTACCAGGAAGTGGCCTAAAAAGAGGGAACTTTTCTCCACCCTGGAAAAAAAGATCGCCAGGTGCTGCAATGGCCCTTTCTGAGACTGTGTGCCCTTTTGTGTTAACTTTTCCAATCCCCCTTTCCATCCATATTGAAGCAAAACCCAGAGCTTTCTAAATAGGCACTCTGAGTTGCTCAGACTATCCCTTATTATGCTAGCTAAGAAAAACTTAGAAAGGAAATTTAAACCTTTTTCTTGAGACAGTTCTGTTGCCCAAGCTGGGATGAGTGGCAAAATCATAGCTCACTGCAACTTGAGCTCCTGGGCTCAAGCGATTCTCCTGCCTCAGCCTCCCATGTAGCTGGGACTACAGGCATGCACCACTGCACTTGGCTAATTTTTGTATGTGCGTTTTTTGTAGAGATGGGCTCTTGTTATGTTGACCAGGCTGGTCTCAAACACCTGATCTCAGGTGATCGTCCTAACTAAGCCTCCGAAAGTGCCAGGATTATAGGTATGAGCCACTGCATCCAGCCCAGGAAAGTTAAATCTTTTACATGCCTTGATCCATCAGAAATAACAAGAAATAAATTGATCACTTATGGTTCAACAATGTTGGCTCCTCATCTGTTATGAACTGAATGTGTGTGTGGAAATCCCCAATATGCTGGTATTAGAAGGTGGAGGCTGTGGGAGGTGATTAGGTCATGAGGGTGGAGCCCTCATGAGTGGGACTGATGCCTTTATGAAAGAGACCCTACAGATGCGCATGGAGACTGAGATGGGAGGATCACCTGAGCCTGGGAGCCGGAGGGTGCAGTGAGCTGAGATCTCACCATTGCACTCCAGCCTGGGTGACAGAATGAGACACTGCTTTTTTTAAAAAAAAAAAAAAGAAAGAAAGAAAGAGAGAGAGAGAGAGAGAGAGAGAGAGAGAGAGAGACCAACCCTAGAGAGTTCTCCAGCCACCCTTCTCCCATGTGAAGCTATAAGAAGTTAGCCATCTGCAAACCCAGACGAGAGCCTCACTAAAACCCAACTGTGCTGCCACTCTGATCCCTGACTTTCAGCTTCCAGACTGTGGAAAACATTGTTTATAAGCCACGTGCCTTTGACAGTTTGTTACAGCAGCCTGAGCTGGCCAAGGCATCATCTTTATGGAACCTGGTATAGTGGGTAAGATGAAGTAGCTCAATATCATTTGTTCTATATTTAAGCCAAGGCTTCTAGATGCTCCATCAATCAACCAAGCCTGTGCCCACCTGAGAGACAAGGACTGTTATTTTCAAAAACCTGACCAAGGACAATTTATTTTCCTCCATCCAAACACAGTCCGCATCCATTCTCCTGGACAGGCTCCACAAGGGAAGGCCAAAATGATCGATCAAGTCCAAGGTTCACAACACTTGATATCAATAAAGCCCAGCACATGGCCAGCTCTGTAGAGGCCCTGTGGCAGCTCACAGGGCGGACCCCGCCCTCTTCACCCTCAAAGGAGCCATTCCCTGACGGTCCTGAAACCTCTGAGCGTGGAGGAACGTGACGGTGAATTTAAGAAGGCAATGAATTGATTGATTTTTTTTTGTTTTTCAATTTGTAACAAAATTCACCTTGGGTTTTTGTCTCCCTTTTACTCTGCAGGGTAATAATAGAGATACTCGGACAGGATGGCTCTGGGGGATTCTTGCCATCCACAGGGACAAGCCCAACAAAAAGGAATGCTGGCCATTCCTGCATGCCTCCCTCTTCTCAGAAAGGACGCTGTCCCGTGCATCTAATAAACCCACCCAGTTCTTAGCCACAGGGCAAAACAATGGCACACTTGGAAACCACATAATTGCTGTGGCAAGGCCAACATCCACCCCATATAAATTTACTGCAGTAATTCAGAGGGAGGCGAAAATGGCTTTATTATTATTTTGAGAAACCAAAAAGAAAGCACCAAATCCATTATCTCCGGGAGAGGACTGCGACCCCCAGGGTACATCATTGACTGCTCACATTGCTGATTTCTACAAGAGCAAAATACATTTTCTCCCTCGCCGTCCTCTCTCCCCATCAATACAACCAATTTTTTATTTTGATATGGGATACAGTCTCGATGGTTCACATTTTTCTCAGTTATCCTTAACTATACTTATTATTTCCTGAGAAATTAGCCTACACAGGATAGCTGGCCAATACTTTCTTTGGAACCAGAAGGTTCTCATCAAAAATTCTATGTATGAGCATTAATTAGTTCTTTTCAGGTCCTTCTTTATCTAAATCAACCTCTCTCTCTCTCTCTCTCTCTCTCTCTCTCTCTCTTCTCGCCCCCTCTTTCTTTCTTTCTTTTGTAGGTCTTGCTCTCTCTGTTGACCAGGTTGGAGTACAGTGATTCAACCATATTGCTCACTGCAGCCTCAAACTTCTGGGCTCCAGCCATCCTCCTGCCTCAGCCTCCTGAGTACAGGTGTACGCCACCAGGCTCGGCTAATGTTTTAAAAGTTTTTGTACAGAGTGGGGTCTTGCTATGTTGCCCAGGCTAGTCTTGAATTCCTAGAATCCTCCCACCTTGGCCTCCCGAGTAGCTGGGACTACAGGTGCACACCACCACGTCCTGCTTCAGATACATCTTTACTGGTGCCCAAAAAAAGTGAAGGGAAAAATCAAACAATCAACCCCTTGATTGGAAGGAATCTGTTGGTTGCTGGGGCAGGGGAGATGGGCAGACGAAGAAGCAGAAAGACATGAAAAAAGTATACAATGACTTCAGTGACTGCCATCAGGTCTCACGATGCCACTGAGAGAGAAAGTACATCAGGCAGGATCCAACCACATGTGTTAATTTCCCCCAACTTATACTCCTGGATTCCTGTAAGACTCTGAGCCAAGTCCAGGGCAGAGAAGGATGGGAGGGGGTTCCAGTCAACACCCCTTCAGGCATGAGGATGACTCAAAGATTTAGTGCAATCGTCAACTACTCTTTAAAGTAACAACCCTTGGGGGTCCTAAAATGTCCTCAGAGGGAACTTACATCTCCATTTACCACCTTCACTGCCACTGCATCTAAAAAGTTAACGTTTTGAATAGGTAATGAAGCCACACAATATGAAAACCAAAAGGCACTGAAAGATTCATACAGCGAAAAATACGTCTTCCCCATGGTTCCCACCCATCCAGGCAACCACTGTCTCCTCACTAGTATTTCCAGAACATGCACTATGTGCTGGACGCTGGGGCTTCAGGTCCTGGGCAATTTTGCATAATCACTGATACCAGTTTCCTGTGTGTCTTTCCCAAAATAGCCTGTGTTTTTCACATTTTATTAAGTGGGATCACACAGTATTAGTCCATCTGTGTCTGGCTAACTTCACTTGGCATCATGTCTTCAAGGTTCACCCATGTTGTAGCATGTGTCAACATTTTCTTTCTTTTTCAGGCCGAAGAAATAGCAGTCCATTGCATGTTTGTTACATCTGGTTTCTCCTGTCAGCCCTTGATGGACAATTGATTTGCTTTTACCTTCTGGCTATCGTGAATAACGCCACTATGAATATAGGCATGCAAATACCCATTCAGGTCCCCGCTTTCAGTTCTTTTGGGTATATACCAAAGAAGAATTCTGGACCACATGATAATTCTATGTTTAATTTTGGAGGGAACTGCCATACCATTTCCCACAGTGGCTAACTGTAAATTATTTCTAAAACAAATGTTAGCCGATCCTCCATGATGTTCAGCACTACCATTTAAAAGCAGGCGTCACTCTTCTCAACTGAGGAAGGACAAAGTTTGTTGCTTATCATAACTTGGTCCTACACATCCAAGATGTTGAAAATGAAATAGTGGACATAAAAGTTGCTAGAAAGTAAAATGCGGTGATATTATCATCCAGTTATGACTTCCGGTATAGCAATTCGTAGCTGACACTCTATCTGAGATGGAGTCGCATTCTGCCTCCCAGGCTGGAGTGCAGTGGCATAATCTCTGCACACTGCAACCTCTGCCTCCCAGGTTCAAGCAATTCTCCCTGCTTCAGCCTCCAGAGTAGCTGGGATTACAGGCACCCGCCACCACACCCGGCTAATAACACTCTTTACTCCTAAAATACTTCTTTTTCCTCCAGATTAGCTGCCCTGAAATAATTTGTACTGCCCTTTTCTCATTTGTTTTCCCAATTCCCCCATGAGATGAAGCAAAGCAAAAGGGCCTCTACAATTCAGACAAATTCATTCAAAGTAAATATCCCATCCCCAACAGGGGGATTTGAAAGCAAGAGGTGATGGCCAAAACTCAATTTCAGAATATCCACTAGCACACCACGGACTACACACTCAGGCAAAGAAGCTAAAGAAATACACTATGTTGTTACAGTGAAAAGAAAAGGCTGCACCGAGATGACTACACAAGCCGAACATAGACCGCGTTTCATGAAAAGGGTCTTGCAGGCTGAGAAGAAACACCCGCAAAAGGGATGTCAAGCTGGACTGTCATTTAAGATGTCAACTTCACTGAAACGTGATGAATCACTTTAGGTTTACAACACTCCGTGGAGGTCACCTCAAGGATTTTTGCATCTCCAGAGCAAAGCCAAGACTCTCAATTAATCACAAAAGGAGGACAGCGTGATCAGGGCACATGAAAGCTTTTAAAGTGTGTGTGTGTGCGTGTGTGTGTGTGTGTGTGTCTTAAAAAGGCAGGGTAGGGGGCCGCTGGATATAATTCTAGAGACTTTTCTTACTTTTAAAACATTCTGCAGAATACGAACATACGCGTCATGTTCCGACCTTTATTCTTACAAGCTGGTGTGCTGGATACTTCAGGGATACCGGGTCGTCTTCTAAGAGTTATTTGAAAAGTTCTGCCACTGGCTCTTTGCTTTTGCTATCAAAACACTACCGATGAAAAAGGATTTTCTGACCTGGCCTCAACCTTAACTCAAGAAGCAAAATCTTAGAGAGGAAGCTCCATTTGTACTCCACCCCTTCACATCAATCCACACATGATCAGGTAAGACCATGTAATAAACACGGGCTGTTTTAGGGCGTCAAAATGCTCCCTGGCTGACCTTTGCCTCCAGCCCTCATTCATTTTTTAATTAGAGAGGATGGAGCCTTGGCTTTCCCAGACCGAACACTGTGGTTTCACCCACCTGCAAGTGTCCCTGGCGGACCTTGACATGTAATCAATCGTTCTGATTCTGCTGAGGCACAAATCTGAGACAGGATCACCCAGGTGGGGGTAGAGGAGGACAGGGGAGGGGTCTCAGGTCACCACGGATCTGCCATTGTGGCCCAATGGGCCGAGGTTCCTGTCTCTTGCACACATATACACTCTATCTGACTTTCATTTTTTCTTTGCAAAGAATATGGCTCTCCCCAAAAGGTGGCCTGCCAGAGCTATTGATTAAACTGAAGATTAACATTAAAACATCTAGGAATTGATGGTTCTTAACTGAAAATAATGACTTTTCCGAAATCTGAGACACTACCTATATTTTTTTTTATGGCTTCCAAATTACAATAAGAAAATTTTAAATATACATCAACAAAGTAGGCTTCGTTCATTCATTTTATTTATGACTTTTTGTCCTGTACAATCAGCCTCCATATTCATATGTTCCACATTCATGGGTTCTACATTCAGAGGCTCAACCAACCTCAGATGGAAAATATTCAGAAAAAAATTCCATAAAGTTCCAAAAAGCAAAATTTGACTTTGCTGTGCAATAAGTACTACATTGAATCACGCAAATGAAGTGATGTGTAGACACTGTATTATGTATTTTAAGTAATCTGGAGATTATTGAAAGTATGGGAGAGGAGGAACACAGGTTATATGCAAATATTAATACACCATTGTGGGCCAGGTGTGGTGGCTCATGCCTGTAATCCCAGGACTTTGGGAGGCCGAGATAGAAGGATTGCTTGAGCTCACAAGTTCAAGACCAGCCTGGGCAACACAGTGAGACCCTGTCTCTAAAGAAAGGAAAAAACCAATACTACTATGCTATTTTGTAAGGGACCTGAGCATTATGGATTTTGGTATGCATAGGAGGTCCTGGATGCAATCCCCCAAGGATACCAAGGGAAGACTGTATTTAGATAACAATTAGAAGTCTGAAAAGAGAACCAAAGTCTTTCAGTTTATGCTGTGCTATGACTTATGCCATTGTGGCTGACAATTTTGGGGGTGTGAGCTGCATCCCTTCTCAGGGACAAGGGTCCTAGCATGTCCTGGCTTTGTCAGTCTCTTCCACAATTCGGCACCTCCATCTTTCTTACAAGCATTTTGTAATCTCACTGCTCAGCTACTTTTAGGAAACAATCCCTATTTTAAATATTTCATCTTATCATCCCTATACAAATACTTGTAGTTTTTCATCCATGTCTCCCTACTTTTAATTCAGAAAATATAGTAGTTGTATTTGTAATAAAAGCTAAAATAAAAAATAAATGCTAACTACTAGGTGTGGTGCATTATCCTATTAAAGCCTCCCAGGGAGGTACCAATATTATTATTATCCCCATTTTTCAGCTGCAGAGACAGAGAAGTGGGGTAACCTGCCCAAGGTCACACAGCAGGCAAGTGCTGGAACTAGAAATAAACACTGTGGCTGTGGTGCTCCAAAGTCTAGACTCTGGGCTATCACAGGAAAAAAGTGAAGAGTGGAGTTAGCAGCTATTTGTGGGTAGAGAGAAGAACAGTTGGCAAATATATAGATAACTTTTTGCTTTCAAAATTCTATTGCCCAGCTCTGCAATTAGCGAGCCTGTAACCCTGAGCAACACTTCTTTGGGTATGATAATTCTCTTGGCCTCAGTATCTTCATCTGTAAAATGAGGAGAATAAGCATGACTGCCTTATAGGATTGCTGTGTGGATTAAATGAGTTGGCATAAGTTACATGCAGACACAGTGCCTGAAATACAAGAAGTGCTGTGTAAGCATGAGCTTTCACTGCTGTTATTGCTTGGACTTCCTAGGCCTCAATTACTCAAAAGTCAACACTTCTCAAAATACAGATAGTAAGTTTCTGTTTCTCACTGCCAGACGTTATAATACCGAATTAGGATATGCACTGGCAATCGGGGGAACTGGTCTGAAATGTCAAGTCACTTGGCCAATGAACCTACATTGTTTACACAAATCAGCCTTGGCTTTTTCCAAGAAGGAGATTACAATCTAGTGGTGAGGAAAAAAGAAAGTGGATTTTAACAGGATGTGAGCTGTAGAAAATGTTGAAAAAGGTACGGATGGGCAAAGTTCAAAAAAAAAATCTATTCTCTTGAACACTCTCCATAACTGTAGGCTGTGTATGACTTCTTCCCAAAGAATACAGTATGGAAAAAGTGGGGAAGAGCAATTTTACCATGGAAAAACTCAACAAACACTATTTAGCCAAGGGACCAAGGTCAACATCAACAGTGATAACTCATGTCGAGAGAGTGATGCACCCTTGAGAGGATGAGATGAGAACAGAGCCTTACCTCTCTGGTCTTCCTCCTGAAATCCCCAAATCCCAGTCAATTCATGAGAAAAATCACATCTGAGGAACGTCCTACGAAACACCTGACCAACAAGCCTCAAAATGGGCAAGATCACCAGAAATAAGAAATGTCTGAAAACTGCCAGAGCCAAACGCCTAAGGAGACGCGACAGCTAAACATAATGTGACCTTTTACATGGAATTCTGGAATTAGAAAAGAACATTAGGTAAAAACTAAGAAAATCTAAATAAAATATGATCTTCAGTTAATAATACTGTATCAATATCGGTTCATTAGTCATGACAAATGGCCATGCTAATGGAAGATGTTAACAACAGCAGGTGGCTCACGCCTGTAATCCCAGCACTGTGGGAGGCTGAGGTGGGAGGATCGCTTGAGGTCAGGATCAAGACCAGCCTGGACAAATAGCAAGACCTCATCTCTACTAAAAATAAAAAAATTAGGCAGGCACGGTGGCATGCACCTATGGTCCCAGCTACTCAGGAGGCTGAAGTGTGAGGATCACTAGAGCCTGGGAACTTGAGGCTATAGTGAGTCATGATGGCATCACTGCACTCCAGCCTAGGGAACAGAGTGAGATCCTGTCTCAAAAAAAAAAAAAAAGGCAGGGCACGAGTTGTCATATGTTAAGTGCAGACACAGAGGAGTAGATGGAAACTGTATTTTTTCACAACTTTTCTCTAATTTTAAACATATTACAAATGAAAAATGCATTAAAGGGTTTTTAAAAAAATTCTATTGAATAGCCACTCAACCAGGCAGGGCCAGTGTTCTACTGTTCTTGTGAGTGGTGTGAGTTGGTAAAGTTTAGTAACTTGCCTGTGATCCCACTACTAGAAGGCAGGGCTAAGATTCCAACCCAGGTCATTGGACCTCAGAGCCCACCCTGTTAACTACTTGGCCTCACTATCTCCTAATTTGGTGGGAAGAGATACCCACAAGCGGGGTATCTCACGGCCAGTGCTGGGCACTTGCCTGGCCGGCTGTTTCTATGGACAGCCCCAGCCCACCATCTTAGGTCCTGCTGTTTTAGGTCTTCTGTATCTCAGAGCCACAATCCCAATCCAAGATGACACCTCCCCACGTTGATGGATGTTTGAAGTCTGTTATTTGGGCTGTTCATTTTCTATCTCATTCCAGAGTGACATGATAATGGAAACCCTGAGCTGGTATTTTATCAGCAACTACCCCTTTCTGTTCCACACACCTGTGTGCAATGTGGTATGTAATCAGAGGACAGCCAGGGACATGCCTGAACCTGACAGTGAAGGAATTGTTTCCTAACAGGTTCTAGAATGCTTCCTGGGGGAGCTAAGATTATTAGGACTGCTGCCGCTGACTCAAACTGAATTTCCCAGAGATCAAGGATCTTAAGGTACAGATGCTAATGCTGCATAACTATCCCTTCAGCCATCAAACATGTTCTAGGCACAGAGAAGCAGGCCTGGAGGAACAGAAGGATGAACCAGAAAGGAAGTTTCTTTCAAAGGAACACACAACCAGCAGGGGAGACGGGACATAAACATCACCGCTGTCACAGTAATAACCAGCATCTTCTATATGCCTCACTCTAAGCCAGGTGCCTTATAAATATTCTCTAAAGAGCCCTGCTGTTGGTGTCTCCACTTTATAGAAGAGGAAAGTACTTCAGAACAATGAAAAGACAGGCAGAGTCAAGCTGAGCACAGTTCTGACCAGATCCAAAATCCAGACTCCTCCCGATCAAAGAAGAAAGTGAGACTCGGGACCAAGGGCTGATGTGGATGATGTGGAAGAACAGTGAAGCAAAGGCGTGCATGATTCACACAAGTACATCACATGGTCAAGTGAGGTCTGAGATTCTACACTAACATCTAACAGTCTAACAACTGTGGAATGGAATTCTGGAATAAGAAAAGAACATTAGGTAAAAACTAAGAAAATCTAAATAAAATATGGTCTCCAGTTAATAATAATGTATCCATATTGGTTCATTAGTCATGACAAACGTTCCATGCTAATGTACGATGTTAACAACGGGTGGCTCACACCTGTAATCCCAGCTCTGTGGGAAGCCGAGGTAGAAGGACCACTTGAGCTCAGGAGTTCGAGACCAGCCTGGGCAACATAGCAAGACCTCATCATTATTAAAAATAAAAAAATTAGCCAGGCATGGTGGCACACACCTGTGGTCCCAGCCACTCAAGAGACTGAGGTGTGAGGATCACTAGAGCCTGGGAATTTGAGATTGTAGTGAGCCATGATGGCGTCACTGCACTCCAGCCTAGGGAACAAGTGGCAGTGCTAACATCTAACAACTGTGGTGCTGATATACTGGTCCTGTGACCACACATCGCATAGGAAGTCTTTGCCAAGCAACGATGGGCTTCAACTCATGGGCAGTTCTACACAAATGGCCTCATTAGACCTAAATCCTGGGTCTATAACAACACCAGGCTTAAAGTTAATTAAGTGGTCATAGTTTTTCCTGAAAGGGTTTGAGCAAACACTATTTCTCATGAGCCCCAAGGCATCATATCTCAGCCTTTCTGAGCCCTCATCCCTAAGATGCTTTCCCAGTCTGTCCCTGCCAAGCAAGACTTGTCCAGCTTTGCTGTCTGTATTTTGTATGGAAAAAAACAGCAGAGTCATTTGATATGTTTTATCAAATTGTAGTCTCGCCCTCATTTCTAATGCATATCCCCTCTGTATGTTGCTGATGCACCACTGAAAACAGCTGAACTAATAGACGTCCTAGAGGAAAGTAAACTTTGTATAATAAAAGGCTTGTCCTTCACAATCCACTGTCTATGGGACTCTAGAATGAATCTGCTTTTCATTCACATTGAATCCAGAGCTATGATCTCTTTCATATGTCTGCACATAAATACACGTATGTATTCAATTTTCTATAGTGCCATAAATGAATACATGCCACTGTTTAGGAAATAAAGCCCTGGTTTATAACTCCAAGGTTCGCTCTGGATAAATGGCATCACAAACACACACAAGGTACTTTTCGACCCATTCCGCCCCCCCCATCTGCTCAGTATACCCATATGGATACAATTTTAGCAGACATTGAGTCACCTTGGTAATGGGAGAGGAGAAGATATTTGCAAATACCTCTATTCCACAATGTAAGGTTTATGTTCCTTGAGGTAAGCAACATTCCACATTGCCTGTGGAATGCAGCACAGTCAAAGAGAGTCAGTGTGAGATCTGGCCCTGAGGTCTAAGGACCTCACTGGGATGCACAGATTAGAATTCCCAGACATTAAGACCAGATTATTCTAAAGCAGTTTGCAGTTAAGACCCAGTGCATAGCAGCCCATGAGGCACTAAGGACAGACGGTCTGCTGAAAGTCCCCAAAACAAGCTGCCGTCTCAACAGGAAGACAGCGTCAGACCCCAATGTCTTCTTCCATTCCCATTCCTTCCACCCTGAAATCCAGGAGGACGAGGGCATCTCCATGAGAACGTCAAGCACGGAGCCCCTACACCATAACTCAGCCCAGACTCCCAAGGGCGGGTGAGGCACAGGGAAGGAGGCTCAGAAGGCATAAATACAATCTTTTCACATTTACAAGTTTTCTTACAACATGAAGAAACAGCTCCACGAGGAGTAATTTTACAACCCCATATAATGTCATATTCTAGCCAGAATCTTTGCCACTGGGGTTTCACAGAAATACAAATGTGTCAGCCTTTACCATAATTAGCCACTTTTTAAAAAATGTATAATTCACATCTTAAATTGCCTAATGGAGATGGGGTTGGTATAGCTAATCAGAAACTTGGCTTCTATGAAGGGAGAATAATTGAGCTTCTTAATAAGATGAAATAAAAAGATTTCTAGCCCTTACATTCTGGTGCTTAATAAATCAGTATGCAAATGAAAATAATCAAAACAAAAGCTCCCAAGAAATCAGCCTACACACGCTGTATGCTATTCAGTCTGCCAGTCTGGAGATTAGCAGAGCTTCAAGGCCATCACCACTCACACCATGATACGGGATTACATGACGAATCCTTCCTTCCACGGAGGAGACATTAAAGAGGACAGTGGCTTCTCTCGCCCTCTCAGCAGGATCAACTGAAATCCATCCACCTGGCAACCTTCGGGTACGTGTTTGTAATGTGATAGGAATGAATTCTAAAATCACTAAGCAAGATTTCAGTGAAATGGAAATCACTAAATGGGAACCGTGAGCAGCAAGTGACAAACTGCAACTTGGAAAAATAATGCTGAAAAATTGTTCTTGCTCTATTTCCTGGGTTCTGAAGGAAGGAGGAGGAAGAGGCTAAATCGTGAGAATTGCTAGGGAAACCACAGACGGTTTCAGGGTCAAGGTCCTCATTTGTGGCCCGTATCACACTGTCAAAGAAAATGAAAATGAGGGGTAGAGTCCTTGATATTGATTCCATCACTATCCTTCCAAAGCAAATTCATTGCTGAAATATGTCATTTTGCTAAGTACATTTATTTATCCTTAAAACTTTATATCACATTAATAATGTTATTAATAATGTTAATAATGTATTAACATTAATAATGTTAAAGGAAAAAAAGAACTCAGTTATTTCAACATGCACCTTGCGAAAGGCTTCAGAAAACCACATTTTAGTGTTCCTTTTTCTATTAAAAAATCCATCTCCACTAACCCAAGATCTTTCTTTCATTATTAGTAACTTTAATTTCATTGAAAGGATTTGGGGATGGGGGTAAATTTTAGTTTATTCTAAATAAATGCCTTCAGTTTCCCAGCCTTTGCCCAATCCAATGGAAATTTATGTAACAGGAGATGAGCTACAGCCAAAAAGACTTATTCCAGAAAATCTGCCTGTGTCTCTCTCTGAACATCCACGGACTGAGGCCATTTCAGTGTGCCTTCTTTTCCTTGCTTCTTGATTGACACTTGCAACCAGCTCTTTCCACTGTCCCCAACAAGTGATAATGATCCATGAACCACCTAAGACCCCAACTGTCTTCGGGGAACACAATTTGGAAGAAAAAGTGCTGAGAAGAATCATTACCATGTGAATAATACTTCCACTCAACTGATTCATTCATTCATTCATTCATTCATTCATTTTCTTAGTTTTCAAGTCCAGGTTAAGAGAGAGTGGCAGAAAACAAAAGAACCATCCAAATAAGCCTTGAAAAGTCTCCATTTTAGTAATCCTCCCTGCCTCCTACATTTCACCTGGTCACATTTTCAGGGTCAGTGGAAATTAAACTTAAAGATCTCCCCAGGTGCTTCACAAAATGCCGATGGCTTCATGCTTGATGCCATCAACCAAGATAAATCACAGCCAAGTACAAAACAACAAAGGAATCCATGATGCTGGGGACACCTGATCATGTTTACGAGTCCATTACACTTCTGCCTCCCAACCCAGGGCTGCTCGGCTTCCTCAAGTCTTGGTCAGGAATCCAAAGGGATGACAATCAAGTATTCAATAAACTATGGCATGATGTGATGAGTTCAGTCATGGAGGCATGTTCAAAATACCATGGAAATTTATAAAACAGAGTGATGGAATTTGTTGATGGTATAGGTTTGAGTAATTGGAAAACAGATTTGGAAGCAAGGCATGGTGGTGCATGCCTGTTAGCCCCATCTAATCAGGAGACTGAGGTAGGAGGTTTGCTTAAGCCCAGGAGTTCAAGACCAGCCTGAGAAACATAGTGAGAACCCATCTCTAAAAAGAAATAAAAAGAAAAATGATTTGGCAGTAACACACAACAGCACTTGGACACAGTTGCATGAGAGGGAAGTCCCTCCTAGCATGAGACCATCCAGAGGGTTACGGTGGGTGTGGGGGCCACTGTCCAGAGTGGGGAGGGGACTTGCAGGGTATGATATAGTACAGGAGCATTGCCAGATCATTTGGGTCAGTGAGCAGTCTCGGGTCTTATAATCACAAAGCTCTGTCTCATCAACGGCTGGCACATGGTGGGTATAGTTCTGTGGGGTATGCAAAGTAGGCAGGCCCTGAATGGCTAGAAAGCTGCTTGTTTTGGCTATTTTTAAAACAAATGGATGTGTAAAAATTTGGGCTTGGGAAGGGGGATGGAAAGCTTCTGGGCTGGTGAACACAGGTGGTGGGAGGGTGGCATGCCTGGAGAGGGCATGGACTCTCTGCACCCCTCCCCCACCTCGCCCTATGGACCTCTGCATCAGACCTATGGACCTTTGTATCCTTTGTAATAAACTCGTAAACATTTTAAAAATTGAGTTTGGAACCTGGGAGTGGGAGTGGGAATCATCACAGGGGTGCTGTGAACTAGACCTTGGAGTGAAACTTTGTCAGTCAAAATGGAGAGGGACGACACTCCAGGCAGGGACGACAGCAAATATGAAAGTTCAGACACCGCAACATGGACAATTTCAAGTCATGCTGTTGATGGCAACAAGACAAGGACTTGAAAGCCGATTTGTGGTGCTGGAAGTCAGGGTGTGAGGGAAAGAGGCAGCCCGAGAAGAGGACAGACAGAGATGAGGCCAACACATGATACAGGGGTTAAGAGCACCAATTCTGGAGCACAGCTGCCCAGAGCCCAATTCTGGTTTCATCACTTCTTAGCAGGGACCACTGGGCAAGTGACGTGAGCCCTCTAACCTCCATTTCCTCCACTGTAAAATAGAGTTAAAAGCAATGCCTACCACGATGCCAGCTATTCTGGCTGTTAGCAAACAACCATAGTAATGGTCTGGTGTTGGACCCCATGCCAAGGAAGGCTGACCTCATCACATCAAGGACAGTAATGGGAAGAATGGACTGTGTGTAACAGAGAGTGACTGGGCCAGATCAGTGCAGGGAGAACATGTACGGGATGGAGAAGAGGCAGGAGGCCAGAAAACCAGAAGACTACTGTACTAGTCCTAGCAAGGGATACTGTGGGCCTGAATTAGAAAAGCAACAGGAAAAAAAAAAAAAGAATGAGAGGAATTCCCAAGAGCTCTCAGGGAACATCCACAGGGACTGAAAAGAAGAAAGAATGAGTGAGAGAAAAAAAATCAACAACAACTTCAATCTTTCTTTGCAGGATTTTCTCATCCTTTGTCTCCATGTCACTTAATCTTTTTTTTCTCTCTCTCTCTTTTTTTTGGACACAGGGTCTCCCTCTGTTGCCACAGTCATAGCTCACTGCAGCCTCAAACTCCTGGGCTTAAGCAATCTTCTCACCTCTCAAGTAGCTGGGAGGACAGGCATGGACCACAACACCTGGCTAATTTTTTAAATTTTTTATAAAGACAAGGTCCCACTATGTTGCCCAGGCTGGTCTCAAACTCTTGGCCTCAAGTAACCCTCCCACCTCAGCTTCCCAAAGTGTTGGGATTATAGGCATAAGCCACCATGCCCACCCACCATGTCGCCTCATCTTTAAAGACAAATACTATGGTAGAAAGAAGGCAGGCCATCATCTTTGAGCAATTCTTCCCTTAGGAGAAAAATGTCACTTTCTGATATGGTATTTTAGAACGGAGAAGGGAAGAGATGAAGGTCAGTGTGGCTGATGAAAAACATGAAAGCTGGCTGCAGCTCCACTAAATTAGCCTCACTGGGATTTGTACCGAGAGAGTGGCATCCGGCTTTCCCAACACCTAATGAGCCTTAAATCCACATGAAATTTCAATGAACCATCTCCATCCTGAAAACCTCTTGCAGAACATCTAAATCATGAATCAGAGTCTACAGCACGAATCCATTTATATACTCAAAGTGCTTCTGAACCAAAAGAAACTTGGCCTCCGCTACCTTCTTAAGGCCACAGATTTTGAACCTATTCTATTTCGGAAATCCCAAAGGTGAGTCAGGAGGCTGGATATCCAGACTGAAGCTTTGAGAACTCTATGGAGATTCACAGAATCTTCAGTGGAAGTTCACAAAAGTGAGTGGAAAGAATACGACAAAATGAAAAAAGTGCTTAACCTACATTTAAAGGTAGCTAGACTTTTTTTTTCCTTCTGTCACCTTTCCTGTAGTACTTTAATGAAGCTGCCGTGTGGGCTACTAAGACTTTATGTTCTAGTCTCCCTAAACTGTCAATGTCCTCACCAGCTTTAACCTCCATTTCCATCACACGGGAGCTTATTGTAGGACTCTAGTTATACTGCCAACCTCTGGGTATAAAAAGGTCTCAAGACATGGACGGGGCAAATGATACAATAATAGAACAAAGCACAAGCTAACATGGGCTATAAGGGAAAATAGGGGACCAAATATGAAGTAAGGACATGGAGGAATTTATAGGCTAAGAGCAGAAATGATGGCGATCATGATGATTACAATGGTGGTGCTGGTGGTGGTGGTGATAACTAACATTTACTGAGCATTTAACTCTTGGATAGATACTGCAAATGGTCCCCAGCATCCCACCTCTCTTTCTTATACAGTAATAATGCTTTGAGAAGAGTCTTGCTCTGTCTCCCAAGCTCAAGTACAGTGGCACAATCTCGGCTCATGCAACCTCCACCTCCTGGGTTCAAGAGATTCTCGTGCCTCAGCCTCCTGATTATTTGGGATTACAGGAGTGTGCCACCAAGCCCAGCCAATTTTTTGTATTTTTAGTAGAGATGAGGTTTCGCTATGTTAGCCAGGCTGGTCTCGAACTGCTGTCCCCAAGTGTTCCACCCACCTCGACCTCCCAAAGTGTGGGGGATTACAGGCATGAGCCACCACACCTGATCTATAATAGTGCTTTTTAGCTGGACATCGAGCTAAAGACAAAAATCTCCCCACCTCACTCAGGAATAATGTGATCACATGAGTGAGCTTTGGCCAATGAGATGAGACAGTGCTGTGAGTAACTTTCAGGCCACATTGTTAAGGGAAACAGGCATGCCTTCCATATCCTCTTTTCCCTTACTGGCTGGAATGCAGAAATGATGGCAGGAACTGAAGCAGCCATCTTGGACCAGGAGATGGAGGGCATATATTGAAGATGACAAAGTAACAAGCTAGAGGAGGCTGGGTCTCTGATCATTGCAGAACCTGCAGAACCAGTCCTAGGCTTATCTTGATAAGGCAAGTACAGGGCTACATACTTTACATGCATGATCTTATTTAATCCACACACATCCCTATAAAAGAACCAAGAGAGTCAACCCACTTGCCTGAGCTCTCAAAATAAGTGGGAGGGCCTGGGATGGAAAAAGGCAGCCAGATTCCTGAGGTGAGAATACAGTGTCTCCCTGCCATACAACCAGTTGACCTAAACCAAGTAAGGAATCATATCAACGCCCAAAAATGTATGCCAGACCTAACAATCTCTCCAGCAAAGTGTAAGCAGGCACAATTCCTTAGTTATTCTGGTCTCCAGGTGCTCAATTTGCCCTCATCTTCTTCCCCAGCCTCAGGGAAGCTCAGGTAGAGACTTTTCTACCTCTCTATTTGAATTAATTTCCTTCACAGGGTCTGCCTGAGCACTAAGGTAAAATGAGAATACTGTGGACACAGCTATTTCTTGTTGGCAGCCAGCTCTCTCTACACTAGACTAAGGTCCTACAAACCCAGCTGTGTGTTTATTGCATTTCTACATCTCTTAATTCTTCTCATCTGCCTTCCAAAAGGTAAGGCTGCCTTCAGTGGATTCAGTGGTATGGCACAACTCAGAAGGAATTACAGTCAGTCCCGTGGACACAGCACCACAAGGAAGTAATGTCAAGCGCATTGGTTAGAAAATGGTCAGGTCATCCCTCTTCCTTCCCAGGTTTTTAAAATAAAAAATAACTAAAACCCTTGCTAGTACCTAGAGCAAAAAGTGAATTTAAAATTCTCTCTATCCGAACACCAAAGGAAAAACAGCACAGTCAGGTGCATTAACTCGCTCTTCTTCTAACCCGACAGCATCTTGGAAAACTCCTCTGGGTCTCTTTTTCCACATCTAAAGAGTGGCAGGTGAAGAGCCACACTGGCCACTCAGTTCCCGAACTGCAGGGGGGGCCAGTGAACTCATGATGGTTCTGCTGAACAGAGCTGTCACTGAAAGACGATTTCCTACATTTGCAAATGCAGAGTGAGTTAAAGGAGCTTTCATTTCTAGCCAGTTTCATTGAAATTTTACTATATTATTGGGCACCTGAAGAAAAATCTGCTTTGGAGTATCAGGACCTGCCAGAAATGATCTGGAGACAAAGAAGCCTTTAGCTTTTGAATCTTCTTGCTCACAGCTGGGCTATGCCATCTCTCAGATGAAGCTGGCTCAAGTGTACCTGAAGATACACTTACCTGAAAGGGTGCTGGGATGGTGAGGTGAGGTGCAAGCCTGTTTGGTATATAGAAGGTGCTCAGTAAATACTAGCTAAAATGACTAGCATTATCGCGGTCATAACCATCAGCATCTGGGACATACCTGTTGAAGCTATTAACACCCTGTGGAAAATCGAGGTTTATTATCTGATATGGTGTGGCTCTGCGTCCCCACCCAAATCTCATCTCCACTTGTAATCCCCATGTGTCAAGGGAGGAACCTGGTGGAAGGTGACTGGATCATGGGGGTGGTTTCCCCCATAATGTTCTTGTGATAGTGAGTGAGTTCTCACAAGATCTGATGGTTGTAAAGTGTGGTACTTCCTCCATTACTCTCTCTCGCTGCCATGTAAGACGTGCCTCGCTTCCCCTTCACCTTCAGCCATGATTGTAAGTTTCCTGAGCCCTCCCCAGCCATGTGGAACTGTAAGTCCATTAAACCTCCTTTCTTTATAAATTACCTGGTCTTGGTTAGTTTTTTACAGCAGTGTGAAAATGGACTAATACATCATCTTTTTTAATAGAGCACAAAGTTGGGGATGGTGGATAAGAAACAGAACAATAAAGGGTAAGTCTTAACTGATTCAATAAACATTCATTAACTACCAGGTTCAGAGCTAGGTGCTATCTCTGCCCTCAAGGTTCTCAGAAGTGTATAGAAGATCCAAGTCTGCGGGGAGGGGAGGGAGAGAGAGGGAAGGATAGTCTCAGAGGGCCTCACAGAGCAGGTAGCCCAGAACTGAGTCTTAAAGGATCTGTAGTTTCTCAGGCAAGAGAAGAGATCTCTGCACAAGATCAGAAAGGCAGACAGCAGCCAGAGACAAAAGAGGTGCTGTGGCACTCGATGAGGCTGGAAATGTATCTCATCAGTCAAGGTAGCCATGTGTGTTGATACACTCGGGCTGCCAAAATAAAGTGCCACAGACTGGGTGGCCTAAACAACAAAGTTATTTTCTCCCAGTTCCGGGGGCTGGAAGACAAGCTGCTGGCAGGTTAGGTCTGGTTTCTCCTGAGGCCTCTCTCCTTGGCTTGCAGACAGCCACCTTCTTGCTGTGCCTATCAGTCAGACTGGATCAGGTCCATCCTAATGACCCCATTTGACCTTAATCACCTTTTTAAAGGCTCTATCTCTATCTGAATACAGTCACATTCTGAGGCACTGGGGGTTAGGAATTTGTGGGGAGACACAATTCAACCTGTCATACCACAAACGGACTGGCAGGAGGAGAGGCATTTTAGAACAAGCATCGTGTGGTGCTGAGAAGAATGGAATTTGTGGGGGGAGACTAGCAGCAGTCAGGCCTCTGAGGACCCAGGGAGGAGAACATGGAAGCCTCACCAACCTGGGAGAACAGAGGACAAGGTATGTCTTGCTGGGGCTGGGCCATCTTGCTCAAGCCTCAAGCCCTCATCATTCACTGCAAATCCCTGCCCTCCCCTGTGGGGAGGAGTCCGCTTATCTGTGTGGGTTCTCAGAACAACCCGTCCCTGGCTGGGCCTGATTTCCCACTCCCAAATCCTGCCAGGGTTCTTGGTACCCCCAGAAACGAACCATTTCTGCCTGAGGAACAGAAATGAAAACAAACTGCAGTGGGTTGCGAACACAAGCCCAAGGCCTGAGAGTCAACCCTTCAGGGAGGAAGACCTGGAGCTCTGGTGCCCCCACTGGCCCATCAAGCCCCTCTAACAAGCACCCCCTCACAAATAAAGCCCCAGCAGGAAGCCCATTAACACCTCACAGGGGCACACCTCAGGACCCCCGAGGAGAAACTTCAAAAGACATCCCAGCAGCACGACCTGCCAGAAGAGCCATCAATCAACAGCACCATCCCAGGAAGCAGCGGCTGAACTGGGGAAAGGAGTCAGGCACATAAATTAAATGTCCCTCAGCCCCTATATGGAGCTCGATTTATTGCCATAGAGGCCGACTGGGCTCCTTAAGTTTAAAAAGGATCAAGGCCTCTATAAACAGTATTTAGAACTACCTTCCATGGACCAAAAACACCAAGAGAAACTCTCCCTTCTTTTTTTTTTTTTTTTTTTTTTGAAAGAAAATGATCCATTTGTGAAAATAATTCCCACAACATTGAACTCTTTGCCTCAAGCATATATAAAAGTCAGCCCTTTAAAAAAAAAAAAAAAGTCAGATCCAATTTGCCTTTCTGATTTGTTGAAATTAATTTCAGAATTAGATTTTCTCCTAAGTTGGTAGCCTGCCGAAAAGACATGCTAAAAATCTAAAATCTAATTTGTGCTAAAATTAGCTGAAAATCTGAAGCATTGTTTACAGGCTTGACACTCTTTCTTCTCCCATCCCCCTACACATACAAACGTTCCCACCAACCCTTGAACTGCAAAAAAAACAGCTTGGAAAAAATCAGCATCATAGCAAAGATGCAAATAAGGGCTATGTGAGAAACCTTCCAATTTCTCAGGAGATTGTTAGTTGTATAATACCAAAAGACATCGCATATCTTATTTCCACGGAAACCCCCCAATGGCCAATATTTGGTTTTCCTTTTACTGTTAACTATCCAATCTCTTTACCCCTAATAATAATCAAAACAGCACTTACTACATGCCAGGCCCATGTTGAAGACTTTGCAAATCTTTACTCTCATTTCACTCTAATAGTAATTCTTTCAGGTAAATATTGTTGCTATTCCTATTTTATGAAGAGGAAAGCTGAGGCTCAGGGAGGTGAAGTAATTTGCCCCAAGTCACACAGGTAGAAAACAGCACAATGGAAAACCAAACCCAAGTCTGTCAGACCTAAAGCCCGTGCCCTTACTCATGAATTTTAATGGCCTGTCCTCATGCTAATTCAGAAGATGGAACCCTCTGCTTCCCAACTGGCCTTTCAGTAAAATATATTTAGAAATGTTTGCCATTTAAACTTACTCAAGGTTCAAAAAGTGATTCTGAAGAGTATACACTACGAGGTTTAAAAATATCTCTTAAGAATTAGGAGCAGTGGCTCACGCTTATAATCCCAGCACTTTGGGAGGCTAAGGCAGGAGGATTGCTTGAGGCCGCAAGTTCTAGGATGACTTGAACCCAGGATTTGAGGGCTGCAGTAAACTATGATCATGACAATTACTCTAGCCTGCATAACTGAGACTGTCTCTTTAAAAAAAAAAAAAAGAAAGAAAAAGAAAAAGGAAAGAATTCCGTTGGATACCTTAATAAATTAGTCACAAGGTTTGATCTTTTTTCTGGATTGTCATTTCTTCCTTCTTTTTCTGTTTAATAATACAAGCGACTACACTATGCTGAGTTACGCAAACCATGAAATCCAACTCCAGAACTTGGGTTTATAAAAACAAAGGAAAGTGTCACAATGGTTGCATGCTTTGCTCTGTTCAGAGATGAGAACCAAAACAAAATAAAAATAGGTGTGTCAAGAAAGAATTTGACTTAAAATTTAGGAAAATATTCTGTACCCCAGATTGTAGGTTCCTTGGGGTCAGAGATCCTATCTTATTTTACTTTTTATCCCCAGAACCCAGCACAGAACTGGGACCTAATAGTTGCTTGATAACCACCTGCCAAAATGGAGGAAGGATGGATGGATGGATGGATGGATGGATGGATGGATGGATAGGTGGATGGATAGATGGATGGACGGACGGACGGACGGACGGACGGATGGATGGATGGGTGGATGGATAGATAGATGGACAAATGGATGGATGGATGGATGGATGGGTGGGTGAGTGGGTAGATGAGTAGATGGGTGGAGGGGTAGGTGAGTGGATGGATGAATGGAAGGAGGGATGGAAGAATGGATGATAAGGTGGATAAGTAGATGAATGAATGAATTTATACCAATGGTTAAATACTGAAATTCTCTGTCAAGAACTCATTCCCTATATGTGGCTACATCTGTTTTCTTGCTGGATATATATTTTTAAACAGTTCATCCTAGATTAGGATAACTTAATAAACTAGCTGTAAAGCCCACTAGCTCTATGACCAAGGGTCAAATGCAGGCCTATTGAACTATGACCTCCCCCAACGACAGGCAGACAAATGCTAGCAACTATACACTCCGTAGCTGCCCATTTAACAAACACATGGTGAAAAAATAATTTTTCTGGAAGGCTGCCCTATCTGTTGGCACCAAAACCTATTTATAATCCTCTCCATGTGACCTTCCTATTCTCAAGTGACTGTGGTGGGAAGCAACATTTATTCACAAGGAAAATACTTTGGGTCAGTAACTAATCCAGAAAACAAGTCTTGCTGCAGCACCCTGTGACTCCAATTGAGAGGCAAAGAAAGCGAAAACAAACATCTCTGGCTTTCCTGAACACTGCAGCTTTGAGGCTGCCAATCAGAGCTTCTGTCTTTCACTCCAGCAAATACAGGGAGATAGGGACTTCTAAAGACAGACTATGTGAATAGGGTGAGGTGAAACCCACATGAAACTCCAGAAAACCCTTCTTCAAAGTGCCTAGGCACTGCAAGGTTTCCAGAAGACTAAAAAGCAGAAAGAAAACCTACAAATAAGTAATTTTCCATGTTTAACACAGAGAGGGATAACAGGTAAACAACCAGCAAAAACACTGAATAAACGCCAGTGTTCTAACAAGCAACAAAATATTTCTCTTACAGTAAGGGTGAGACTGCTCCATGGTTTTACAAAAGCATTTTTACATAAAATAGTATTTCACTTGAGAAAGCTAAAGAAAGGAATGTGAACACTCTATTTAACAAATAAGGGAACGGAGGCTCACTCTCTTAAGGTTAAATGTCTTGCTGAAGGTCACAGAACCAGGAAGTAGAAATGGACAGGTTTCCTGATTTGGGGATTTTTGCATTCTTCTCTGATCTATTTCTCTTTGCTCAACAAAAACATCTGAGGCCTCATGTTGAGTGCCAGGTTATATCCAGGTAGATTCCAAGCTGGGAACAGATTCCATCTTTATGACACTTCCAGATGGGATTTAAGGATTGGAGCCAGCATTCAAGTTGGCTTTCCTCTCTCCAAAGCATGTGGGTCCTCCAGGAGGTGATAAGAATTCTCCCAGTATTAAGCCAGCCAGAGGAGGAGGGGCAGAGACAGAGAGACAAAAAACCCCACCCACACAACTGGAAACAGATACGAAACTGAATGTGGACTCTCACCATTCCATCTTAAAGCCATCTCAGAGGTAAGGTTCTGCATATGAAGGTGAACCCCATGGTGGCCTGAACAGATATAATCTGGTTGTCTTTAGTACTTTTTAAGAAGCAAATTCTCCATTTCCAATTAGTCAAGCATCACAGCTTCTCTTATTAGACTATTATTGCTTAATTGTCCCCCTTTCTTACCCCACCAATCCCAACAAACTTGCTGTGAACAGAGCCCAAATCAAGCATGAAAACATGATCAGACTGAAATCTTCAAGTCTCTATACCACACCACCATTTTGCCTTCATCAAGGATGATAAGAAAAAATAAAACCTATCCTGCAGAGGTCCCCAAATGGGGCTGAGGATCCAAAACAGCACACGGGGAGCCTTTCAAAATGATGCAGTAGGGCCAGGCACAGTGGTTCACACCTGTAATCACAGGACTTTGGGAGGCTGACAGCAGGAGGATTGCCTGAGGCCAGGAGTTCAAGACCAGCCCCAGCAACATAGCAAGACTGCCCCCCCACACACACACCATGTCTACAAAAACATTGAAAAAATTTAGAAAAATAAAATAAAATGATGGAACACTGGGCTTACCTCCGGAGATTCAGAGGAGTGGATGGTCTAGGGGGACCCGGGTATCTGATGCTTGTGCTAGGGTTATTTTAAAGGTAGTTCTGATGATCAGCCTGCCTGAGAACCCTACACCAATACACATAAAGACACCTACACCAACCACCCTTGGCAAAAGGCTGTCTTGAAAGCCCAGACCTCCACGTGTAGACCCACTAAGTGCCAAACACAAATGGAATCTACACACCATGCAATCTCATGTAATCCTTACGACATCTGCAAGGGTGGCACACTGACGCCCATTTTACAAATTTTAAAAACACAGTTCAGTGAGATAGATTGATTTGCCCAAGGATATTTGAATGTCTAGGTTTTCCCAGGAAGTTTGCTCTGTGCTCCTAAATTGCATGAAAAAATCCCCTTCTAAGAAAAAGAGCCAAAGCAAATCCTAGAATACAGAGATAAATGTATTGGAGAAGCTGGTGCTGGTAGAAAGAATATCTTGATTTGATTTCACATTATTGATTAATATAACTGGGAAAGAAATGCTAGTGGAAACAGACATCCCAATTTTATAAGCTCCAGGAGAGTCCAATTTTCCAGGCACAGAGAGGGTGATAAGATCCTGTCAGATTTCACCAAGCAGAAACTGGGCCAAACAATTTCATTAGCCTGTAGTTCAGCCTGCCCCAGCCTGGGTGACCCATTCAGCAGCCATGAGCAGGGATGAAGGCAGAAAATGCCCACCGGCAGGGAAACAAGATACAACTCACCAGGCTAGGGACAGGAGAGGCCCATTTCAATCAGACAGTGGAGTAGACTCAAGCCTACTTTCCCTCAGTGTGCACAGAATCCAAGAATCACTCTGGGATCCCCAGAGGACAGAGTGAAATACTTTGACACCCTTATGCAGGACACCTCCATCCGGCCCTCATTCTCTTAGCAGAAGGATATCATTTCTTCCCAGAATGCTTTGGGGCAAAAGCCAGATGCAGTCACCTTCCTGGAGTTAGGTCAGAGCTAAGCACCAGGACAACTAGCTCTCTATGACCACCTCACTCACTCAGTGTATTCTTGGGCAAGTCATTTCACGGTGGGCCCGAGTTTATAAAATGAAGAGGTGAAAAAAATCACCTTTGAATTCCTTGCCATCTCTGTCAATAGACAAAACCAAGATCCATAGCCACAACCAAGCTGACCAGATAAAGTCTGCAGGGGGATTGAATCCCAAAAGGCAGACCACAGAGAAGGGAGAAAAACCAGCCTACATGCAGTCATATTCATTCACCCAGGCTCACCTGTTGTGGATATGCATTGCAGAGAGCATGCAGATAAGGAGAAAATAGTTATACGGGAAAAGGGAAAGGAAAAGGTAGAGACCCAGAGAAAAAGAATGTTCGCCGTAAATGTCCCACCAGGGTGAACTCAGATACAATGGCCAATCTCCAAATCTTCCTTCGGATCTCCAAGTCGTTCAGCTACTCCTAGAACAAATATTCATTGAGTAACTTCACTGGGAGACAGGACACTGAGCTCAACTATTATCCTTATCCTTATGATGATTACTATTTAATTAGGGCAGCTGGGGGAAAAAAAAGACATGTCTAATTAAGTGATGCTCTGATTCCCTAAATAAATTTTTTTAATCCACCATTAAGTTTCAGAATCTGTTCAATTCTTTCCCACATTTCAAAGGAATATTAGGCAGTCAACTTTAAAACAAAAGGACCACAAGTCTCCAGGGACAGAGAACAGAAGGGGTAGCTGCACACGCCACTGGCTGCAGACTGTCTGACTTCCTGAGCAGATACAAGCAAAGGCCAAGTGCCCTCAAGGGAATTCAAAAGCCCCTACCATCCCCCGTCCCATGCTGTGAGCCTGGAACAGATTGAGTTCCAGCCACACAACAGTTCACTGCACTGGCTTGATGGACAGGGCTTATCCTGAACACTGCTAGGATCATGTCCCAGGAAAAAGAGCCTATGAGTGAACAAAATTAGGCCATCCTAAGAATCCCCTTCAACAAGTGCTTTGGAATTTCAGATGCTGGAATGATCTATCGTATAGTAGACTGACAAGTTTAAAAAAAACAAAAAACAAAAAAACAGCCCTTCGTAAACTAATGACTGCTGCTCCCACCCAGCAAACTAATCACTAACTAGTCCTCTGCCTCTCACTGAATGCACCACGTCCATTCCTTTAGGCTTTTAAAGCATTTACTTCTCCATTAGCTTATGTGGCATGTAAGATCCTGGGAGATGAGCAGAGCAGGTGGCATTGGGCCTAATGGACAGATAAAGAAACTAATGCTCAGTAGTTCAGAGACTCCTGAAGCCTCCCAGCTGATAAGCAGTGAACTGGTTTTGCTACCTCATCCCTAACTGCCTGTAGCATGGGTGTGCAGAGAGACAACAGACACCTTTCATCAGTTCTGACGTCAGCAACCAGGAATGAGGCTGCAGCATAAGGAACACGGAGCTCCTGCACCCTGTTCCCTGATGGAGTTCCAGTCCGTTGCACAGCTGTGCCGCCTAAATTAAACACACGCACTCTCCAAGAGTAGTTTCCTAGGAAAACCAGACTACTGTCCTTTAGGAACCAACCCTGCACCTGCAGAAAAGCCTTCCACAAAACCAACTGCGAAGGCTTTGCCGCAACAGTTCTCAGAACAGCCACCATGGTCCTGCCACAGCACAGGAAATCATCCCATCTTGGCAAACCCCATTGCAACCATGTTTCCACGCTGCAGCCTTAGGGGAATGAAAATATCAATTTGAGCCAAGCAAATCTAACAGGCTATCATGCAAAATGCTGGTGTCAAATCAAGCCTCAACCAGTAATTATCCATCAGGCAGGGCCATAATAACTGGCTCCCTGAGTCACTTCACTGCGAGGGAGGGAGGCGGATACTAAAGAGGGAGTTGGAATTGGACAAGTGACAGCCTTAAGAGAAAGGCGTTCATCTCACTTTTCTACAGATTCTTCTACAGATTAGGGGGTTCTACCCAAACCTCTCCCCACTGAGGTCAAAACCCATCATGTGACTGCCTTGAGGCACTAATGATTCTTAACGAACTGGGGCAGATTACTCTATCGTACCCTCCTCTAAGTTTAAAGGAAGTTGTCTTTAGCTAAGGTGCTTCCTTTCCCAGCTGCTGTCATTAAACCAGCAAAACATTAATTTAAACTCTTACGGTAAGGGGGTTTCCTGGAAATTCCCTAAAGGAAGTCTTTAATTGACGGTGTGGTTAAACGTCATACAGACAGCACAAAAAGCCGAATCGTATACAATTAGTGAAGGCTCAAGTCCCTTGCAGACAAATAGCACTTTTGTTCATAAGAAGTATTGTGCTATACCCCTGTTTAGGATTGGGACTATTATGAGGAAAGAAACAGACAGACAGACACACACACACACACACACACACACACCCTTTGACGCTTGGGCCTCAAAGCTCAACATGACATTTGCTCCAACTCTATAATTTGATTGAAGAGAAGAAAGAGTTAAACAAAAAGATGAAGAAAAGATTTTAAGAAAACAATAGTTTCTATTAAAATGCATAGCACCATCTTTCAAAAGATGAAAGGACTTATTAGAAACACCATAAACTTCAGAATTACACAGTAAATGGCTTCTTTGGTTTAAGGCAAATTAATATTGGATCACAGATAAAAAAAAATAAGGCCTCCCAACATCCCCAGCTGACGGATGCTACATTCATCATGCAGTTTGGGAGACTGCCTGTTGACTATTTTGTAGAAAAATGAATGAAGGGTTGGTTATAATCACCTTCCCACTCAAATCCTGTCTCATTACCTGAAGTGTTTTTCCTACAAAGTGACACACAAATGATTTTCTAGTCTTCACTTTCTTCTCATAAGCCACCATATGCAGGGCGAGGGAAAGTCCGGGGTATATTAACTATGCCAGGGAATCTGCCCGGGGTCCTTCAAAGTGCTTCCAGAACACGGTAAACACATTATGTCTGCCTAGGTCTTTATCACAGTCCAGTTGAATATGGGACAAAGGCAACTGACAACCTCCAAATATCCCTTACTGAGCCCAAATAATTAGTGAAGGAAATACCACATGATAACATGTGTATCATCCAACTCCTCCCTCTTACTCACCCGCTCCTGTCATACAAATGAATGGCAGGCTTGATGACTCAAAGGCAGTCTTTGTTTTTGTTTTTTTGAGACAGAGTCTCACTCTCTCGCCCAGGCTGAAGTGCACTGGCCCAATCATGGCTCACTGCAGTCTTGAACTCCTGGGCTCAAGCGATCCTCCCACCCCAGCCTCCCATGTAGCAGGGACTAGAGGCAAGTGCCACCATGCCTAGCTAATTTTTTTATTTTTATTTTCATCAAATCAGGGTCTCACTATGTTGCCCAGGCAGGTCTTGAACTTCTGAGCTCAAGTGATCCTCCCACCTCAGCCTCCTAAAGTGCTGGGATTACATGCATGAGCCACCAGTTCTGGGGTCAAAGGTGGTCTTGACTCAGAGGAGGGTATTTCTCACTGCCAAAGTGACCTTAGATCCAAAGTTATTCAGTATGATACTCAATGGGAAAAGGTGCTGACACACAGTAGGTATTCAAAAAGTCTTAGACACTACATAAAGAGAAGGTAGCAATTATAATATGCCTGGCTTCATTTCGCCAAGCTTATCAGGAGTCAGCTTAAGGAACACCCATCTGTGTCATTCACCTCCATCACGCTGATTCCACACTCCCCACAGCGATGGGATTCTAATTTGGTAAAGCCTCTGAAGTAGGGTGAGGGGACGGCATCTAGAACTAGGGACTTCAATGTGGCCAGAGGACAGCCGCCTCGGCATCATCACCCAGGAGGTGGTTACAAATGCAGGATGAGACCCCAGGCAGGGCCTATGAAATCACAGCCTGCAACCTAACCCCAACCCCAGGAAGTCCCGCATGCATCTAAGTGTGAGAAGCTCTGGTCTGTAAGTGGTGATTGCAAACAGGGCTCTGGAAGCCCCTGCACTACCCCCTGGTTCTCCAGACGTTAAAAACTGACAAGCTTCAGAAGGAAGAGGGCACTGATGACCAAAATACGAGGCCGTCAATAGCTTGCTGCTCCCTTGTATAGATAGACCGGGATTAAATTGGCTTCAAGAGACTCATCCAAGCATGGATGCAATAAAAGGCTCTGAGGATGAAGCCCAGGAATCCTCCCAGGTGCTGGGCTTTGGGGTGCAGTTTTAATTTTACTGGACAATTCTTGGGCTTCTCTTATGGTGCACCCAAGAGTTTGCAAAAGAAAAAGGCTGCAGAGATCAAATTCCAGCTTCCTCCAGTTACTGAACCACTCAGCCCGGGAACTTACTAAACCTCACAAGCCTCTTCCTTTATCTTTAAGTGGCAATAACAGCCATCACGGAGGGGATTTGGAAGCAGGGTGGGGAAAGAGAATGCATGAAGAGTGCTTGGAACACAGAAGAAATGCTCAGTAAACATCAGTTATTGCCTTTTTACCATTTGTAACTCTAGAAGGAAGAACAAACAGGAACATTTTGCTCCATGATCAACTCAGGCACAGGATAAAAGGTAGTGAAGAGGAAATAAATCCAAATAAGCCCAACAAGGAACACAAATCCAAAAACACATTTCCTCTAGGTTCTCCTAATGCGCCCCTTCCTCTTGGTGCCCGAAGCTTCCGTTCCTCTTTACAGCAAGGTGTCCCTTTAATTCAGCATGACTAGTGGTGACTCAGGAGTCAGCAGGTCCTAGGGGCTCCCCCAGGCAAAGAGGCCAATTTTCAATGAATGGTGTTTTACCAGCGAGCCTCAGAGGAACAGTATAAAAGCACCTCACTCTTTTATCTGCCCATCTCCCCTCCTGCAGTTCAGATGGGTCAAAGGCATGGATTCAGAAGGCTCAGGCATGTTTCATAAGCTCTTAGGCCCTCTCCTTCCAACCAAGTGGATGGGAGAAATGATGGCCACCTCGTTGCTTCACAGGTCAATCTGGAAATTGTCAAAGGCAGTCACACATAAGGTATGATGACTAGTAAGAGATAAAAAAAGCAATGAAAAAAATTGCAAAGATAATCATTTTAGTAGCTTGTATTTTCACACAAGGATCTGAGCCAATCATACAAATCATATAAATACGCTTCTCACCAGGATATGAACAGACACCATGCTCTCTGCTGAAGAACAGGTGAACAAGAGAGAAGCAAGAGCTAGGGCTAGGGTCTCTGCTTTCCCAACTAATATTTGCCCAATGTTGCCCCTAGGGGACATGTAACATTGTTTGGAGACATTTTTGGTTATCACAAGTATGTAGTGAGTAAAGGCCAGGAATGCTACTGAACTGCCTGTGCTGCACAGGATAGCTTCCTGCAACGAAGATTTTGTTCAGCCCTCAATGTCCATACTGCCGAGGTTGAGCTTCAACTCTGATCTGCCTGGAACCCCTTCTCTTATCCACTGCATTACATTGTCTCCCTTCGTGTTTTCTATTGTTCTGAAGACAAAATCTATTTTTTTTTCTTTCAGATGGAGCCTTGCTCTATTGCCCAGGCTGGAGTGCAGTGGCGCGATCTCAGCTCACTCCAATCTCCAATCTTCCAGCAATTCTCCTGCCTCAGCCTCCCGAGTAGCTGGGATTACAGGCATGCGCCACCACGCCCAGCTAATTTTTGTATTTTTAGTAGAGACAGGGTTTCACCATGTGGGCCGGAATGATCTCAATCTCTTAACCTCGTGATCTGCCTGCCTCGGCCTCCCAAAGTGCTGGGATTAGAGGCGTGAGCCACCATGCCCGGCCCAAAATAAAATTTTTTAAACGGGACAATATATCAGATTGCCACAGCTCTGGAACCAATGCTGAAAATTAAAAACACATAAGAATGCCCTGTGCACATTGCTCGTTGCTCTCCTTTGACCATGTCCAACGCTCACACCCCAAGGCTTTTGAACTTGCTTTTCCCTCTGCCCCAGCCCCATCATATAGGTTCAGGGCTCACACAACCCCTCCTTCACATCACCTATGGCCTCAATAAGGCCCATCCTGACAGTCCCTCCTCTCTCCCCCAGCCCTTCCATAGCATCCGTCACCCTCAGGGGAGTCACGAGTTTTTATTTGTATATTATCTTACTCCTCCTGCTAGACTGTAAGCTCCAGGAGGGCTGAAATTTTCTCCTGTGTCACTGCATTTTCCTCACCACCCCTGTGTCTGGCACATAGTAGGAACTCAAAGGATATTTGGTGAAACAGTGATGAACGAATGAATGAATGAATGAATGAATGAATGAATGAATGAAAAAACAAGCTAGCTTTGATTTCTTCACTAGGAATTTGAGGGCTTTAGCTTTCCCCAAGCTTTAACACCATCAGAGGGAAAGATCCCTGTGTAGAACCCGGGATCTTGCAGCAAGATGAACAATAATCACCGTAATAACCACTGTTCTATATCAGGGGCTGGCACTTTTTTTCCTGTAAGGGGCCAGATAAGTGTCCTCAGCTTCGCAGACCCCTTCAGTCTGTGGAGCAGTTATTCAACTCTGCCGTTATTGCACAAAAGTGGCACCAACGAGGAAGCATGGCTGAGTGCCAGCGGAACTTTATTTAAGGACGTTGAAATTTGAATTTCATAGACTTTTCATGTGTCAAGAAATATTATTTTTCTTTTGATATTTTTCCTCAACCATTTTTAAATGTAAAGATGATTCTTAGCTCACAGGCTGTACAAAAGCTTGAGATGGGCTAGATTCAGCAATGGTTTATTCAATAATGCGACACCACATTAAAACGGCCCAGAGTCCTTTCACAATGGCCATCTCATTCATCCCCAGAACAACTGTAATGGGTTGGTTCTTCGTATCCTTCTTTACCCCAGTTTACCACTGAGGAAACTGAGGCACATAGTTACTCACTGATATAGGTCAGATATTTGTCCCCTTGGATCTCATGTTAAAACGTGATCACCAGTGTTGGACATGAGGCCTAGTGTGTCATGGGGGCAGATGTTCCCCTCCTGGGGAATGGGTAAGTTGTCACTCTCTTAGTTCCCACGAGATCTGATTGTTCAGAAGAGCTGGGCCCCTCCCTCCCCTCTCTCTCTTGCTCCCTCCCTCACCATGTAATAGGCCAGTTTCTCTCTGCCTTCCAGCCTGAGTGGAAGCTTCCTGAAGCCCTCACCAAAACCAGACACTGATCTCATGCTTCATGTACAACCTGCAGAACTGTGAGCCAAGTAAACCTCTATTTCTTTTTTCTTTTTTTTTTTTTTGAGACGGAGTTTCGCTCCTGTTTCCCAGGCTGTAGTGCAATGGCTCAATCTCAGCTCACCGCAACCTCCGCCTCCTGGGTTCAGGCAGTTCTCCTGCCTCAGCCTCCTGAGTAGCTGGGATTACAGGCATGCACCACCATGCCCAGCTTATTTTTTTTGTACTTTTAGTAGAGACAGGGTTTCACCATGTTAACCAGGATGGTCTCGATCTCTTGACCTCATAATCCACCTGCCTCGGCCTCCCAAAGTGCTGGGATTACAGGCTTGAGCCACCGCGCCCGGCCTTCTTTTTTCTTGTTTGGTTTGGTCTGGTCTGGTCTGGTCTGGTTTGGTTTGGTTTGGTTTGTTTTAGAGAAATGTTGTAAAGCGCAGCATATCCCAGCACCAGGAATGGTGTGGAGTCGAAGCAGCAGGGACAGGCAGAGTCTCACATGGCGAAGAGGATGAGGAAGGCAACCATCAAACGCAATAGCCCCATCACCTCAGACAGGGCAAAGCCCAGAATAGGAGAAGAGCTGCCACTTGAGAGACAGGTTTCTGCATAGCCAGTGATCAAACTGTCAATCACCGTTCCAATGCCAGCCCCTGAACCACTCACACCAACTGTGGCTGCCCCAACACGGCTGCTGTGTCAACGTCCCGGGAGGCAGCACTGGTCTGGAACTCCCGTGTGGCCATCTAGAGTGGGGAGCTGCTATAGGAAGTCTGTTTAGATGAATTCTGATCTATTCACGAAGGAGGCAGACATGAGCCTGATTAGATCCCTGGTACAACAGCGGATTAGAGCCGAAGAAATGAGTCGTGCTGGGGGTCTGCATTTTTTCAGTCTGCCCTCCCACTGCCCTGCAGCCCTTGCTCAGCCTATAATGCTTGCCCAGCTCTAATCCTCTCTTCTTTAAAAATGACTCAGCCTAGCCAGGCACAGTGTCATCCCAGCACTTTGGGAGGCCGAGGCAGGCAGACCACGAGGTCAGGAGTTCGAGACTATCCTGGCCAACATGGTGAAATCCTGTCTGTACTAAAAATACAAAAATGAGCCAGGCATGGTGGTGCATGCCTGTAATCCCAGCTACTCAGGAGGCTAAGGCAGGAGAATTGCTTGCACCAGGGAGACAGAGGTTGCAGTGAGCCAAGATTGCACCACTGCACTTCAGCCTGGGTGACAGAGTGAAACTCTATCTCAAAAAAATGACTCAGCCTTAGGTATTTCTTTATAGCAACATAAACAGACTCAGACAGTGACTTATCCAAGGTTGTCAAGCCTTAGCCTTCTGATGCCACTGCTAGAACTCTTCCTGCATTTAATGGACTTTCTTGAAATCTTGCAAGTAATGAATACAAAGACCTCAACTAATCCACCATTGACTCAGAGAAGAGCAGGGAGTGTTCCAGTGAGTATAGCACTGAAATCAGCAAAGATTCTTGTGTGAAGACACAAATACCAAAGAAACAAGAGGCCTACCAGCATCATCCATCTTACCGCACAGACAGCTGTTCAACTTGCCTTGCAGAAAGAAAAGGTGGAGGCCAGCACCCTCCTGCCCTTTGGTGTTACAGGAGAAAATTAATGACACAAAAAATTGTTGTGTTGCCCAGGATTGCAAACGAGAATCCTAAAGGTGAAGGCTCCATAATAAACACACTGGGGTTATATGTTAGTACCTAAGCCAGAATTATTTTTTTCCACCTTAATTTCACAAACATTCTAGAATGGTAATTAAGACACTCAAATCAAATGCAAACACGGGCTGGGGGAGATTTACCTCCCAGATCTGAGAAGTCTGAACTCCTCTTGCTTACCAATTTAACAATAATCTCCGAATATACAAAGTATCACCTTTTAACTCTCTCTGAAGTTACTGCAACCAGTATTCTCCCCATGTATGTGACACATGGCACAGAAATACTAAGCTTCTGTGTTTCAAATTTCAAGCATTAAGTCAAGGAAGGGTACTACCCTGGCCCACCTCCCCTCCCGCCACCAACCTGAAGTCAGGCAGAAATGCAAAGGTAACCTTGAGCTCCACCCCTCAAGACCTGTATACCTAGACTCAGGAGAGAAATGGCCAAATAAACCAATGACCTAATTCAGCATCTCATATGCAACCTGTAGCTGCTTCCTACTCCCAAAACACGTTTGCTGGGGAACTTTTAAAGCAATTGTTAAAGCCTAATGGAGTCTCCAAGAAAACATCTGAGACATGCTGATTGGTGAAACCTAAACAAAAAAGGCCAGGCACCTGAGGCTGCTCTTCATACTCTGAAATTCAAGATGGCACCTCCAGTTGGGTCTTGTCCATTATATTGGTAGTATCTGGCTTACTCTATCTCCAAAATGCTTTCCCCTCTCCCACCTCTTTCCTGGTCCCACAACTAACCATCTAGTCTGAATTCAACTCCCTGGAAAATACTTTTCATCATGCTCCTTTCTGTTTAGAAAAACTTCCATAGTCCTTTTCTGGAGAAACTCCCTCCGCCTCAATTATAGCCTATATTGGTGACCCTATAATTGGTTTCCCAAACCAAAACACTTAAAAGGGAGCACTGTTCATAATTATACTAGGACAACAGCAGTAAATGGGACTGTCCAGAAAAAACTGGGACAAAGAGTCATCCCAGCTATAAGGCCTGGGCAGGAGAACACCCTGACCTATTTTGTTAACTGTCCTATCTTTTTAACTGAACAGTTCCTAGCATACCACCTGACATAGCACAGGCACTCGATAATAAATATTTGTGAAACTGAATCTAGAAACAGGAGCCTTAAATGATATCATAGATACTACTAACTAGAATGAATTTGCCTCCACAAAGGATCCTCTAGATCACTACAAAGTAAAATCATACCAGAAAAATCACTGCTTCTGATAATCTATTTCATTTTCTTTTTACCCTGGACTTTTGTTTTTCTCTCTTGAGAGAGAATCTCGCTGTGTCGACCAGGCTGGGGTCCAGTGGTGCAATCTCAGCTCACTGCAACCTCCAACTCCCACAGTTCAAGTCATTCTCCTGCCTCAACCTCCCGAGGAGCTGGGACTACAGGTGTGTGCCTCCATGCCTGGCTAATTTTTGTATTTTTAGTAGAGACTGGGTTTCACTGTGCTGGCCAGGCTGGTCTTGAACTCCTGACCTGGTGATCTGCCTGCCTCGGCCTCCCAAAGTGCTGGGATTACAGGCTTGAGGCACCATGCCCAACCTACCCTGGACATTTTAAAATCTCTCACTAATAGTGATTTTGTATATCTCAATAATTAATAGTACAGTCAGCCCTCTATAACTTCAGGCTCTGCATCTCCAGATTAAATCAACCACAGATTTGAAATATGTAGGGGGAAAAATACAATAACTTTAAAAGTACAAATAAAAAACAATACAGTGTAACAACCACTCATAGCATTTACACTGTATTAGTTATTAATATCATAAGTGATCTGGAGATGATTTAAAGCCTATGGGAGGATATGTATGGGTTATATGCAAATACTACCCCATTTCATATTGAGGACTTGAGTTTCCTTGGATTTTGGTATTTGAGAGGAGTCCTGGAACCAATCCTCCATGGATACCCAGAGATGACTGTGGTTACCATTACTGAGTCCTGAATTGTTAAGTACCCAGGCCCCTCATCTACATTCTCCCAGCAGCCCTAATGAGGAAAGCGATAGTATACCTAGTCTCCAAGCGAAGGAATTGAGGCTCTGCAAGGATAGATAATTCACTTGTGGTCACAGACTCTGCCCAAGGTCATTCCCTTCCATTGACCAGAAAACTCACCAACCAGAACTTCTCAGTTCCAAAGCATTATTTTTTAAAACCATTTCATGACCGAGGCAAGGTGGAATAACATTTAGCAAACTAAAAAAGCCATGAAACGGGCCATGCGTGGTCCAGATATACCACTGACTGTCAACTGCATTTGCTGTAAATAACGTGGATTCAAACTCAGGAAAGCAAGAAGACTCAGAAGAAAGCCAGCAAGACCCAATAATAACATACAGCACAAGCCTTCTATGAGCAGAAAGCAGAAAGGCAGAAACTGGCATCCTGCTCTCCAGGTTCCAAAGAAGTTTCTTTGGCCAGCCTTGCAAGTGGGAAACTTAATTTCCTGAGCAATGCAAAGAAGGAAGTCCCTGCTTGCCTGAAGGGAGGTGAGGACAAGGCTGGGAGGAGGAAGAGAGGTTCTATTATTAAACAAGACAGATGAAAACTTTTGAAAAATGGAAGGGAACTTAGGCTTTAAACTCCCTGAAAGTGGAGACTAATTCAACCCACGGTTGTCCCCAACTTCTCCAGCATTTATTTTGTCCAACTTATCTTTCTCAATGAAATTCCACACACAAAGTCTAGAAAATTTATCTCCCATAATGCTTTGCTTTATGGTAATTTCAAACAAAAGGTTTTTGGGTTTTTTATTTTGGTTTGGTTTTCTTGAGACGGAGTCTCGCTCTGTCCCCAGGCTAGAGTGCACTGGCATGATCTCGGCTCACTGCAACCTCCAACTCCCTAGTTCAAGCTATTCTCCTGCCTCAGCCTCCCGAGTAGCTGGGACTACAGGCTCACGCCACCATACTCCGATAATTTTTGTATTTTTAGTAGAGACAGAGTTTCACCATGTTGGCCAAGATGGTCTAGATCTCCTGACCTTGTGATCCACCTGTCTCACCTCCCAAAGTGGTGGGATTACAGGCATGAGCCACCGTGCCAGACTGGGTTTTTTTTTTTTTTTAAGTAAAATATACATGTTTAAAGTTCCCCCTCCAACCTACTCATTTTAAAGTATGTATAAATTTCCCAAATCTATAAGACTAGGCTCTCTTGAGTGCATTCCTCGAATTACAAGCTATCAAACATTTTACAGTAATACAGTAGGTTGTTGACTCCTCTCTCTTAAAAAAAATCAAGAAACTCACATCACTAACCTCACATTACAAGAATCACTAACCAACTTCTCATAAATACACTCCCAGAAAATTAACTAGCATCTCAATCGCAACAAAGGGAAGGCTTTGTCTGCTACACAACACATTATCTTCATTAGTGTCTCCCTTGTATTGATTATGGAAGACATGCTGTACAAACACTATTTCCACAAAGAGGAGTGAGGAGCAAAGTTTTTCTGCATTCACTGAATTTAATAGTCACCCACTCCCTGCAGATTAAATTCTGCTGCTGGATTCTGCTGCTGGAAGCACATTCAGCCATCATTGATGTCAAAGGCTTTAAATCAGCAAGGTGGTCATGGTGTTTCCCACACCTCCCAGCCATATAAACATTCAGCCTAAAAATGAACTGGGTTCTAAGAGCAGCACAAAGTAACACTCTTATCTTCATCATGCATAAATTGCCAACAGCAGCTCACAGTCTCCGACCCTTCCCCTATTTCTGGTTCAAGGGCCCTCTTGTAGTCACATGGCTGTAGTCTAGGACCAACGTGCATGAAATGGAAGTAGGGTTTGGTTAAGGTCGGTTTAGCAGTAGAAAGCCAGATAGAGTTGTAAAAAGATGTTCCAGCAGCCGGGCATGGTGGCTCAAGCCTGTAATCCCAGCACTTTGGGAGGCTGAGGCGGGAGGATCACAAGGTCAAGAGATCGAGATGATCCTGGTCAAAATGGTGAAACCCCGTCTCTACTAAAGTTACAGAAAATTAGCTGGGCACGGTGGTGCATGCCTGTAATCCCGGCTACTCGGGAGTCTGAGGCAGGAGAATTGCCTGAACCCAGGAGGTGGAGGTTGCAGTGAGCTGGGATCACGCCATTGCACTCCAGTCTGGGTAACAAAGAGTGAAACTCCGTCTCAAAAGAAAAAGATGTTTCAGCATATCTCTTGCATAAACACTGTTGTATGAGTCTCACTAAACAAAAAAATTAATCTATGGATTATGACATTTGTCAGCCTCCTCAAGACCAAGTTCTGGACCATGGAATGGGGGCAGAAGTGAAGGGGACCTCTTCTGGGCCTATTCAGTAAGCTCAGTGTCCTTATCCCCTCCAGCCAGATGTCAAGAGTAGATGACCTTCAGGGAGGCCTTGAAACCTGTGTTAAAGATGGAAGATCCTCAAGATGGAAGGAGCCTAGCTCCCTGAAACACCAAATGGAGGAGAGCTGCCCAACCAAGAACACCTAATCAAGAACGTATTTCACATCAGTGGAAAATCAGCTTTTCTTGTGTTCATTCACCAACATTTTAGGGCTTATGTTACAGAAGTTCATGGTATCCTTAAATAACACAGGCAATATGGAAAGTCCATTTATAAATATCTAAATTAGAGGCCCCACTGGATCTCAGGCTTGCTAGCATGTGCCTATCCATGAATTCCAATGTCTCATGTCATTCATGAGTTCCACTCTATTATTATACACCTCAGCAACCATGGTTGGTGGGGGATGGGAGCCTTTTACTACAATCTCTGGTTTTAAAATAAGACTATCTATCACAAGAGTAAGATGAAATTCCTCTGTCAATGTTCAACAGGTA